TCCAACAGCAGCTTTCATGCTGCCTTCTAACCCTGCAGGCTCTTCCTCATAGAAGCCCTCTTTGAAGGAGCCTGTCAGCTTGTTATCTCTTCTAAACAGGTCTTCTTCATATTGTTTCAAACTTCCCTTTACTTTTTTCCTGGTAAGATAGTGTTTCCCTGTCTATGTTTCAGCATTCCTAATCTAGATTTTAATTTCCCTTTGGTTTCTTGAATCTTCTAATTTTCCTCTTTGTTGTTCCCTTCTATTTCTTTGCACCTGTCATTGTAATAGCATTGTAACAGATACAAAGTGTTTGCTAATTTTATTGTACTGTTTTATTGATTGTTTTTATGATTATTGGTTTTAATCTTGTAAGCTGTTCTGAGACACGATAGTGAAGGACAGCATATAATGTTTTAAATAAAATAAAGTGATATTACAGAAATATATAGCATATAATTTCAACATTTAACCAGTTCATGAGAAAGCAAAAATTTCTATCTCCTCTAGCTACAGTTAAATCAGTCAATTCTCAATTAAGGTTTGGCAACAGAGTGATCTAATTTATCAAAACAACTGTAAATAATGTCTTAACTTTAGCATGAAATACAAATCTCTAATAATTTTTTATGAATTCAGTTTTCTCAAATATTAGTTAAAATGCCCATAATAAGCTTTCCATTTTTCAATAAATTCTTTGGCAGGTCTTCTAGTAATAGCTCTTTTTGACTCTATGGAATAGTCACTTCAAAGTTTCACTCAGGACTATGATCCTATGTCTGTCACCTTCTGTTGCTCAGTTGTCATTAGCAATTGTTCATTCACTCGTATGGAATGCCAATTAGGAATTCAAGTGTTCTTCCTCACGGAGCATTGTGTGTGTGTGTGCGTGCGTGCATACACACATGTGCATGTCAGGGGACTATGGCAAAATTAACTGTCACCAAGGGAAGTAAAATGTTTACTATGAATTCACTGGGCTCTTTATCACTCCCTCTGGACTTATTAGAGCCCAAAATAAAAATTAAAATAATCTTGCTGTTCTGTTTCCTGAAAAATCAGGATGATTTGTGTTGGCAATCAAATGGCACCATACAAATATTCTTGGCTAAGTAGCACTACTGTTACTATCTATTATTTATATGTTTGAAATATTCATTACCTTAAACCAGTGGGCAGTTGTCCCAATATTACTTAAGTGTGCAGAACTGATATTTTTCAAGGGCTTGAAATGAGAATGATTGAAAATTCAGAAAATATATATTTGAATCCTGGCTCCACTATGTAACAATAACTGTACTGATTTTAATGGGTGTATTATCAGTTAGATAATTTCAGAACTGTAGCCTTTAATTGCATGAGAAAGACTTTTGAGCTGGGTATCAGTAGATGGATGGCAAATTAAATTTGCCCCTTCCTTTTCACCATTAACACAAATTGGGGTAGGAGAAGCTAGGGTGGGTATAAAAACCAGGAATGCTAAGAGCAAGGGCAGAACTATAGTAAAATATTGAAAAGGCCTTTTAGTTGGGATGACCACGCTATGGCTTCAAGAAAGTACATAGAAAGGAATACAGGAATACAATGGACCGGAGATACAAAATTGTCACTCCTCTCCCTCACAAGCACATGCGTATAGACAAGCGGGTGTGTGGGTTGGTACCACTTTAAGTTGGCCTCTGTTGCAGTTGGGGATGCCAGAAAAAATGGGATGAGAGGCAATAGGCAAAATACGTTCTACACAGTGGGATGTGTGGCACATATGTGAGCTTTTAGGAAACTTCCAGAGAGTTTGTTTGTTCATTCAGTTGAGCCGTTGCCTCCCAGTGCTGCCAAAATGGTTATGGCTGTTGAACAAAAAAAACAAAAAAAAACAAGCAATTTATCATCTGGCCAACCTTTACACATGCTGTTCCCCTTTCTCCATTCTTTCCCCAGTAATAAGGCAGTAATAATTATCTGCAACAAGCTGCTATATGGACACACTTCCTGTCCCAGCATCATTGCAAACCTACAAATTGCAAACCTACCAGGTTAGCATTTCCGCATGTGATAGGAAAACTTCACCAGTTACATATCTGCCAGAACTGAAGGTGATAACACAGGAATTCTCACAGATGAGTGGTGGCTACCCAACTGAGTGGGGAAAACAGAGGAAATGTGAGATGGAGAAGATGAAAGCAGTATTAGCAATTGTTTAGTGGTTAGTGTTGTACTGGGACGTGGAGATCTGGGTTCTGGTCCCCACTCAGCCATGAAGCTCATTGAGTGACTTTGGATGAGTCACTGCCTCTCAGTCTAACTGTTAAAGTTATTGTGTTGTTATTGTGAGGATTAAGTGGAGAAGGGGTGATCCTTGTAAGCCACCCTGGGTTCTTTGCAAGGGGAAGAAAGGTGTGGTATAAATGTGAGGAGGAGGTTTGGATAGATTTTGGCCATTTCTGACATGTAGCCACTCACAGAAGTCAAAGACATATAAACCTTCTGATTGGCTCAAAAATATATCCAATTCTATGGCTTTACAGTAAAATTTAAAAAGCAAACAAAAGCATATAAACCAATAAATGAAAGGTTTTTCCTGAAATGAACTGAAGTTGAAAAATAGAAGAAAGAAAAAAGGGCATGCATCACTGAGGAGGAGGAGGAGGAGGAGAAAGCTTGATTTTCATAAAAGTTGCATATGCTAATTTATAGCTATAGAAAAAGTAATGAGATTATTGTTACATAATAATAATTATTATGGCAATGATGAATGTAATTTAAGTAAAAATACATTTCACCATAGTGGGGAAGACTATGACCAGGTGACTCGTGTGCTTTGCTCAGTCTGTGATCCAGCTGCTCAGGGCAACTTGAAAATCTCTACTCTTTGTCTTTAGGATTTATTTATCATAAACAGGACATAGACTAAACATAGTACTGTCCTCTGACAACCCTTCAGATTATAATGTCCTCTTTAAAGTAGGGCACATGGCTACCTGCCCTGAAGTACATGAGAATGAAGGGGAGAACATTTTGCATTGCTCTGTCCAGACTTCACATCTAGATTCTGGTGTTCACGGACCACGTAAGTGGGATTAGGTGGAGTGGATATGTAGGTGCACTAATGGGAAGGCTCTCCCTTGCCAGTCAAGGCAAAAGATGTGGGATTGTTTTGATTGGGTTTATTTTTGGAACTGAGACATGCCAGAACAAGGGATATCCAGATAGAATTAACCATGATTGCTCCAATTTACAGCCCATTATAGAGTTTCACACAGATTTTAAAGTACATGAAAGCTCAGAGGATGTACTAGGGATGTGCCAAAGAAAGGTAACAAAGATTAGGTTCTGAATACTACATAGAAGGTTCAGGGAGGTTCCTTACTCCTTGCTTGCTTTTACATCCAGTAATATTCGTAGCAGTGTATCCCCAACATTCACAAGAAAAGTGATAGTCAAGAATGCTTAAATCATGCTTGGATTAGTTGGATTAATGTTTGGCCTCACTGAACTGGTAAATGCTGCAGATTGGATCATTTTTCCCCACCAGGGCTGGCCACTTCAAAGTTACTACTATAGCTTAGCTGGCATATGGTGGTCAATGGCGTTATGATGAAGAAAGAGCCATTTGCTGGTGCTACCCCATGGCAGGGAAACATTCCCTTTAACTAATGGTTCCTATACCTCCACATGAGTCCAGAGGCGTATTGTTACTAACAGCTTTGTCAAGGTGTCAGGATAATGTTCAATAAATCCCTAGCACATGCTTTATAAAAACAAAGGAGCAAGCCCATCTGAAGGTCCTCTGCAACAGAAGCAAGGGTGTAGTGAGTTCTGGATAATGCTGAGAAATCTAAACAGTAGCAATGGACAGTGAAGTGCAATGGAAATTATCAGTGCAGGAGTTGGATGGAAAGTGAACAATGGCAGAGGAGAAGAGCCATTTATACTCAGTTTTGTATACAGAAAAGCCTGCTTAACATGGGAAGCAAAGTGGAAGAAGGAAGTGCCAAGGCTTCATGTCTGTGTTTCAATGTACTGGATAGGAACATTGTCACTAGACATGGCGAGGTTGTGAGGAGTGGAAGGCTGAGGAAATCAGTCTTGGTCAAATGCTGAATTTGAGACGAGACTTAACACAGACACATGGTAGTATCAGATAGGCAGTTTGAAAAGTGGGACTGATGGAAGGGAAACTTTCGGAATAAAGAGGTAGGCTAGGTGTCTTCAGCATACAGATAGTGTTAGAAGTGAGGAACTAAGGCAGAGAAACACTGTGTGTGCAAAAAAGAATAGACAGATTCCTGAGCAATTGTAATGGAAAGGGGAAAACAGGAAGAGATCTCCACCATGTTAAGTTGCTAGTAATATAATAGGCATATATCTAAAAGTTTGAGTGCATTTAGCACTCTATTCTGCTACCTCTTTTGTAACGGTTTATTCTTTACTGCTTTTATAAAATGTTTAAACTGTATGCCCAGAAAAAATTGGCTAGCAGATGGTTTAAAACGGCTCTAAATAAATACATTTATGTACGACAGCGAAAAAAGTCTTTAAATGATACGGTAGGACGTCATCTTCTCAAATAACTACTGCTTCATCTTTCAAACAATCAAATTTATTTTCAAAGTCTTTTTCAGCTTGTTTGTATGTGTGTTGTTGCTAGTTTTCAAATCCTCTCAGGTAAACGGGGAACAAGATCAGTCGTGGGCGTGTAACCGATGACTCCAACAGCTGTTCATATTGTAACTTATCCCTCCCTGTGCGGAGTCGCCTTCTGTTGTCCCGACAAGTAGTTTTGTTTTCTCTCGCTTCTGCATTTCAGCGCCCGCCCTCGTGTACCGCTGCAAAAGCTTTCTTTCCGCCACGCCTATGGGCGGCGCTATGAATCAGTTACGTCACTGTTGACCTCTCGAACCTCCGAGAACAAAGAGGCCGCCTTAAAGACCCGGAAGTGAAAAGTTTGTTCAGAAACACCGTTCTTTCCTCGGCGGCCCCAGTCTCTGTGACCCTTCCTGCTCCCGCCTTACGCCTCCTGGTTGCTAAGCGGCGCTGGGCTGGAAGCGAATCGAGGCGCGAAAGAGCCCTTGGCCGGCGGGACCGAGAGGAGGGCGCCGCCCTCAGGCTTGGATGCTGGGACCGTTCGCGGACTCGTAGCCTCCCTTGCTTTCGGACGTTGCGTGTTGTGCCGTCCTCCAGAGCAGGGAGCCCAGCTGCCCTTTAACTGAAAAGTGGCCTGGCTGGAAAATGGGCACGAAGTCTGACCAGCTCCTGATTGTGGTTTCTATCCTGGAAGGTAACGCACAGGGCAGAGCCCTCCAGCAGGGTGCGTGTATGTGTGTATGAGAAGAGGAAGTGGTGAAAGCCCTATTGCATCGCCCACCCCCATGGGTGAATACCTTCCAAATAAATTGTGGGGCGGGCTTCGTTCCCAGTTGAGCCGGACCATGTAGCGTGCCCGAATATCTACTGTGCAGAGGATGTAGTGTCTGTTGGTCGTTTGTAATGATGGTGGTGGTGGCAGCAGTGGTTGCTGCTGCTGTGTGGTAATAATGAAACGGTAGGGCAATCTTTGGAAATGTGGAGGAATCCCTCAATTATACGAAACGCCTGCGATAGCTGAAGACTATATGTGCCATTGTATCTACTGGAAGGTCGTGTGTTATGTTTTTGTACCAACTACACACTGGCTGCAGAGATAGCTCAACGCATCCCTGGAGTATGTGTTCATAAGGAAGAAAGTATCCCAAGTTTATGTATTTTATGTATTATATACTCAGTAGAGAGTAATTATTGGCATCCCTCCCATTACTTTTCAGGTTTCAGGCACTTGAATGGACTGCTAATGTTTCCAAATCGAAGGCTGTAGTTTCTTTGCCGCCTTGAGCCCCCAAACCTCTCATTTCACTGGCAGAGTTCAGGGCTCCGGCCCAAGGAGCTAAAAACAGAAAATTCAGTGCTGAAGGAGGGGGTATTGTAAACAAGATAAGTGAGAAAAAACTGATTATTTATCGCTGATGGATTAGGTAAACAGTAGGATAGGATTAATAACTGACACTGAAATCAGCGATATCAGCAGTTGTAAATACTTTAACTCAGTGTTCCTGCTTCAATAGTTTAACACTGATGTAGTGTGACAGAGGTTTCCTGTATTCTTAGAGTAATATTTGTTGTGGCACACTGAACTTTTACTGGTGTAAATGCATGAGAGAATGGCATGGTGTTGTTATGCTCATACATCCACAAAGCCAGTATTTAGCTGCAGTTCTTGTATGACAGGAACCCTTCTTAAGTTGTGTGGAACTGTGATGCCTTGGAGGTAGGGTTACTATTCTTGAAAACAAACCCACCCTAACCAGCTGTAAATTGTTAATTGCATATTGCACTATTTGCAGTCACTGACTCTTTCATGCACATTTTTCAAAAGGTTGTTAGAAGATTACGTTAAAGGTTTTTTTAATTGGTTGGTTGACTTAAACATTTATTTCTAGTAATTTATTTCTGTTTTTAAAACAGATTGTTGTACACTGCCCAGAGAGCTTTAGCTATTGGGTGGTATCACTAATAAGGTTAGTGATTATGATAATGATGATAAAATATTGTACAATATCTTATGCATTCTGCTTCAGCCATACTTATTTACTGCAAACTGTGGCATATTGTTAGCCAAATTTTATTTATTTTAATCTGTGAAAATAATAAAATATAGAAACGGTTAAAGTGCCAAACAATATAATACTGTCCACTCTGACACTTCTACCATTAGCCCCTGTAAGATCATAGGCAGCCATACTTCCAGTGCATGTTAGTGGTCTCAATAAGTGACCCATGGGATAGGTTATTCTAAGCCTGCCCTTTTGTTCATGTTTTCCTCCTCCAGGTGGGTTGGGTAGTTATCTCTGACAGCATGCTGGCAATCAGAAAATCTGAATCTCTGATCATGTTACACCAAGCTGCTGATAACTTGAAGATAAATGTGTGTGGTTATAACCTCATCACTAGCTCTTTGAGGTTCTTGCTTGATCACTCTGTTGCCCTGGCTGTCTTAGACACATTTGAAATTATATATATATATATATATATATATATATATATTTAGAGAGAGAGAGAGAGAGAGAGAGAGAGAATTCCTTAAAAATCTATTCCCCACTTTCCTTTTATGAAAGTGTTTTTTTTTTTAAATCCAGAGCTAACTGAAAATGCACTTATATAGGTAGTTACAAAAGGGCTTTTGAATATTTGAGTGAGATTTTATTTTGTGCATAGGAGCTTGTAAGGAGTTTGCATCATGTCTTAATGTGTGACTCTCAACTGTTTCATGTAGAAACTTTCTGATCAAACATGTTTGTTTTTGTCTATTTCCAGGGCGTTATTTTCCCAAACGTCCAAAGCATACACTTGTGGTAGAAGCAAAGTTTGATGGTGAAAATTTAGCTACAGACCCTGTAGAACATACTGATCAACCTGAATTTGCCACAGAATTAGCTTGGGAACTTGACAGGAAAGCACTTCACCAACACAGGTTACTCTTGCAAAATGTTCTGAATTGGTTGATTATGTTCGCTTGCATCATGTATGTAGAGTTTCCCTAATAATTATAATTAAGTTGTCCCAAGACTGTATTAGAAAAGCCTCACAGGCACCAATTTTCAACTCCAGTTTTGTATACCATTATGTAAGATAGTTCAGGTTGTCACTGAAAAGAGCAACTTTTGCCACATAACTTCTAATTTCAACAAATGGGTTTCATCTTAATATGTAATTATCAAGCCAATTAGACTTTTTTATGATTACAGTTTCTTAATTCTTATGAGAAAATGATTTTAAGAATATATAATGAAGGTTAAAATGCTTTTATTAATCCTTTCCTTGACAAATGTTTGTTATTTTTTTAAAACAAAAAACTATAAAATGAAGCTTATACCTCTGGGAAGCCTAAAACTGGTATGCGTATCTATAAACCTTGATTCTTATTTCAATGCATTTTTATTTTCTTGCAGATTACAGCGTACACCCATTAAGTTGCAATGTTTTGCTCTGGATGCTTTATCTGCAGCCAAAGAGACTGTAGGTTACATTGTGCTTGATTTAAGAACTGCTCAAGAGAAGAAGCAGGTATTATTTTATCCTCCGCTTATCCTTGCCATAATCATGTGTGATCCCTATTGTTTCCTAGATTAAATAATTTTGAATGAAATTGTTTTCTGAATGTCAGGTTCTAGACCTGATTTCTCACTGAATTAAATCTGTGTATGGACTTCACCATTTCAGAATGCAAATGCTCCAAATAACTAAATGGCCCTTCACAGGGGAAGGAAAATCCCTGCCATGTTGGAGAGATGGAGTTAAGCTAACACCTTCTTCCATAGTGCATAGTTTTCTGGTAGTAGAAACTTCGTGGAGGAAGAAGCCTTTTAATATTACATTATATTTATATCCCACCTTTTTTCCTCTTATGAGGAACCTAAGGTGGCCTAGGTAGTTTCATTTACTACAACAAGCTTGTGTGGTAGGTTGGCTGAGAGTTTGTGATTGGTCCAAAGTCACCTAGTGGGCTTCATGGCTAGGTGGGACTGGAACTGGGATCTTCCAGGTCGCCACACCAGCAGCTTTACTACCTCAGCACTATCTATATATACTGCGTAATCCTGTGAGTTCCAGATGGCAGTTATGAAGTAATAAAGCCCAGACACAATTTTAGTTCAATGAAAACTAGGCTTTAGGTATCTAAACTGCTAGAATTCAATGAGATAACACTGGCATACATGAAACGTTGCTGTTTCTTGCCTAAAGTTTTTCTGTGCTAGGAAATGAATAGCAAAATCTTCTAAATATTGCTCCAACTTAAATGAGAGTTGTGTTTGGTGTAAGTTGTTAAATAGGTGCAAAATCAGATTACCAAAACTGGGTTATAATTGTTATAAATTATATGAATTATACTGTGACAAGGCTTCCGCTTCAAATGTCATATCTCTTGTCTAACTGTTCAGTGCTTTTTTAAAATTCTATTTTATTTATTTATTTAAAACATTGCCGCCCCATCGCAACAAAGCCTCGGGGTGGCTCACAACACATAAATACTAAAATTATACAATAAATAATACAATAAATAACACCCCCCCCAGTGCATTCTCGGCTAAAAAAAAAAAAACACCCTAGTTAATAAATAATTAACAGTTAAAATAAATTTTAAATAAAAAGGTCTTAGCCTGGTGCCGAAAAACAAATAACGACGGCGCCAGGCGGACCTCTCTGGGGAGCGCATTCCATAAATGGGGCGCCACTGCAGAGAAAGCCCTCCTCCGGGTGCTCACCCTCCTAATCTCATTCACAGAGGGTTCCCGGAGGAGGACATCTGCTGCTGACCTCAAGGGGCGGGAGGGCATATATGGGTGTAAGCGTTCCTTTAGATAACCAGGTCCCAAGCCGTTTAGGGCTTTATAGGTCATAACCAACACCTTGAATTGGGCCCGGACTTCAATCGGGAGCCAGTGGAGCTGACGGGGACTGGGCGTTGTTCTCATATAACCCCAGTTCTCCGTCAGCAACCTGGCAGCTCTATTCTGCACCAACTGAAGTATCCGGACCATCTTCAAGGGTAGCCCCACGTAGAGCGCGTTACAGAAATCTAATTGGGAAGTTACCAGCGCGTGTGTCACTGTCGCCAGGCAGTCATGCTCTAGGAAGGGATGCAGCTGATGTATCAGCCGAAGCTGAAGGAAAGCATTCCTCACCACCGCCATCACCTGAGCTTCCAAAGACAGCTCAGGGTCGAGGAGCACTCCTAAGCTGCAAACCCTGTCCCTCAGAGGGAGTGCAACCCCATTTAGGACAAAGCCAAAGTCCCCCATCCCGAGGTCCGATCCGCCCACCAACAGGACCTCCGTCTTGTCTGGTTTGAGCTTCAGTTTATTGGCCCTCATCCAGCCCATTACCTCGGCCAGGCACCGGTTCAGCACAGCCACTGCCTCACCTGGGTTGGTGGAAAATGAGAGGTAGAGCTGGGTATCATCAGCGTACTGCTGATTCCGCAGCCCACACCTCCTGATGACCTCTCCCAGCGGTTTCATGTAGATGTTAAAAAACAAAGGGGACAAAATGGACCCCTGCGGAACTCCATGGCATAATTGCCATGGCACAGAGCCATAGTCCCCCAGCACCACCTTCTGAAATCGGTCATTGAGATAGGAGTGGAACCACCGCCATGTGGTGCCTCCAACTCCCAATCCCGCTAGCCTATTCAGAAGGATACCATGGTCGATGGTATCGAAAGCCGCTGAGAGGTCCAGGAGAACTAACAGGGACGCACTCCCCCTGTCTCTCTCCCTGCACAGGTCATCGTACAGGGTGACCAAGGCAGATTCAGTGCCATATCCGGGTCTGAAGCCGGACTGAAATGGGTCCAGATAATCAGTTTCATCCAAGAGTGCTTGGAGTTGTCCCGCTACCACCCACTCTAGCACCTTGTCCAGGAACGGGATGTTGGCCACCAGTCTATAATTGGTGGCCACCTCTGGATCCAGGGATGCCTTCTTTAGGACTGGCTGGACTACCGCCTCCTTTAAAGGGGCAGGTACCCGGCCGTCTCTTAAAGAGGCGTTGACCACCTCCAGGATCCAGGTCACAATCCCGTCCATGGCTTTCTTGAGTAGCCAAGATGGGCATGGGTCTAGTAAGCAAGTGGTAGGACGTACTTGTCCAACACCTTGTCCACATCATCAGGTCACAACAACTGAAATTCATCCATTATTTTGGTGTGGTCTGTGTTAGATCAGGTGATATAAGGTATCAAGATAAGATAGTATAGATTTAGATATAAACTTTAGCTTGATTATGAACTTCTAGATTTCCTAGATGTTATATTATGCTTAATTCTTGTAATTAACCTGGGATACATGTCATCCTAGATACATTCTGGGAAAGGGACAGGGGCAGTGTATCCCTGTTGGTTCTTTTGGACCTCTCAGCAGATTTAATATCCTTCTGGATAGGCTGGCCAAGTTGGGGGTTGGAGACACTGCTTTGCAGTGGTTGCACTTCTACTTGGCCTGCTGATTGCAGAAGGTGGTATGGGGGAATTATGGCTCTTCACCGATTTCTGCAGGGTTCCATTTTACCCCACATGCTATTTATCATCTACATGAAACCACGGGGGGGGGGTCATCTTGAGGTTTGGGTTGAAGTGTCACCAGCATGCTGATGACAACCACCTCTACCTCTTTACCTTTAAGCTAGGTGAGTCAATGACTATTCTTAATCAGTGTCTAGCCAGTGTGATAGTCAGGATGAGGGCCAATACATTGAGACTTAATCCAAATAAGATGGAAGTTCTGTTGGTTGGTGGCTCAGCTCCACAGATGTCTGCCCTATTTTGGACAGAGTTGTACTTCCCCTAAAGCACAAGGTTCATAGTTTTGGAATGTTCCTCAACCCAGAGTTATCTCTGGAATCCCTGGTGACTGCTATGGTGAGGAGCGCCTTCCATCAGCTTCGACTGGTCCATGAACTATGCTCTTACCTGGGTGAGCAGAGTGTAGAAACAGTAACTCGTTCTCTGACAACTTCCCAGTTGGACTATTTTAACATGGTGTACATGGGGCTAACCTTGAAGTCCGGATACTTCAGTTGGTACAAAACAGAGCAGCCAGGCTATTGACTGGGACCAGCAGGTGTGACCATACAACACTGGTCCTGTACCATCTGCACTGGCGCCCAATTGAAGTCCATGCCCAATTTAAGGCATTAACTGATGTACAAAGCCCTAAACAGTTTAGGACCTGGATATCTGAAAGAGCGTCTCCTTCCATATATACCTGCCTAAATCTTAAGATCTTCCACTTAGGTCTTTCTTTAGGAAGCCTCTTTGAAGGGGGTTAGAAGAGGGGCTACCTGGACAAGGGCCTTTTCTGCAGTAGTGCCCTCGCTTTGGCACCTGGTGCCCGGAAAGGTGGACCTGGTGCTTATGGCTTCAGACCACAACCTACTTATTCACTCAATATTTTAAGGTTTGATGACTTTTTTAAGGTGGGAATTTTATCATAGTTTTTACATTGTATTTTAACTGTGCTGTTGCAAGTGTTGTGAGCCATCTTGAGACCTGTTCTGGTATAGGTAAGATAGAAATGTTTTAAATAAAGAAAGAATACAGCTATTATTGTTCTTAAATATGCCCCTCCTTGGCTTGCACTTTTTAGTCAGCTGATGAACCTTTGTTTTTTCACACTTTCATAGATCTTCATGGGGATTTTTAGGAGGCAGTTTAAATGTCTGTGAGAACTTGTCCTATATGCAGTGTAGACCAAATTTTTTTTTTAAAAATGGAGGGATAATTCAAGAAGACCAGTCTTTTCCCAGTCTTAGGATCCATGAGGCAATAAAGTTGCAATTCTTTGTGTCCTTTTCTTGAGGAAGTCCTGTTGAAATCAGTGATATTTACTTCTGAGCAGATATGTAGGATTACATACTGATAGTGATATATGCTTATATAGTAATATATGCTTATATATACAGTGGTACCTCGGTTCATGAACTTAATTCGTTGCACAATTCTGGTCGCAAACCGAATTGGTCATGAACTGAATCAAAATTCCCAATAGGGTTCAATGTAAATTAAGGTTAATCAGTTCTGAACCATATGTACTTATTTTTAAACCACAAAAATATGGAACAAATTACAGTACAGTACAGTATGAAGAGGGAGAACACTAACCTTGCTTGAGGCGACTTCTCGCGTGGCGGACAGGAAGGTGGGTGAAGAGGAGGTTATTGTTTGAGGGGAGAGTCTGGGACTGCGATCTCAACTAGAGGAAGCCACAACCATGTGTCAGAGCGGTGAAGATGGCCGTGTATGTGTGAACACGAACACAGCCATCTTCCCCGCTCAAACACACTCTGACACGTGTTCACAGTGCGGAGAAGATGGCCACGATTGTGTTTGTGTGGGGAAGATGGCTGTGTTCATGTTCGTGTGGGGAAGATGGCCATGATAGTTTTTGTCACCCATGACAGAGTTTGCAAACAGAAGCAAAATTTTGCCAAACTTTCTGTTCGCTAACCTAATCGTTTGCGAACAGAAGCGTTCGTGAACTGAGGTATTCCTGTATATGCTTATATAGTGATATACTGATAGTGATACATGCTTATATAAATGTTGTGCACCCTGGATAGCACTTGAGCATGAACTGAAGAACAAGAAAACTTAGGCAGCCAAACTACTCTGCATTAGCACTGTAGATTTCCTGGCTAATTGTACCAACACCATATGAAATACAACAAACAAAATGACAGAAATTATGTTCTGGATGTTCGGTCCTTAATTGCAGAAAAATCCCGTAACAAATGATTTGACATTTGGGGGCTCTAATTGTGTTTGTGCACCCTTTGTATCTGTATATTCATGAACTCAGAGCATTCATGCTGTTGTGTGTAGCTGTTGCCATGTAATCTTGGTGCAGAATATGAAATAAGACAAAAGCAACTGTGTAACTGGATTCCTATCACTGTATAAATTAATAGACAATTTGAATAAGTGGCCTGCCCATTAAGATGATTATCTGCTTATTATAGTATCTCATGATTATTAATGCAGGAACACTAAATACAGAGGAACAACTTAACAAATATTTAGAACATGTTTAATAAAAGTAAATGTGTTTTGTGTAATAATGATGATGACAAACTTTCTCAAGTTTTGTTTTTAATGGAAGGGTTAAGCCCTTCAGTGAGGTGAGAGATGATCTGATCATGGATTTGCAGGAATAGATAGATGAGAACATTTCCAGCCCTGCTGAAGAGATACATAAATGTAGTAGAGTGTGCACTTGTTAATGTGCTCTTGGAGCCTTCTATTCCCACTCCATTTTACTATGGACCAAGTTCAGTGTAGATTTGTCTGCCACTGTTTATTGAGCCAATAAGCAAATGGAGTATTGTATTTGCTTTCATGACTCTTTGGATTACAGCTAAAGCCTTGAGCAGTTTTTGGTATTATTTTAAATACTTTGTGGTTTGGGGAAATGAAAGAGAAACTTGACTATATGTAATATAGCCTCAGATCTATATCTGAGGCCACTTTATTAGAATAATGGTGGTAGAACCACTACTACTAGTTAGTCAAAGAATTAATTTTAAGATGTCTTAAAATCTCTTGCCACAGTGGCTGCATCTTACATGATGACCATTTACCATGTTAAATTCTTTTCCCCTACTACTTTTAAATCCTGCAGCCACCAAAATGGTATCCTTTACTCAGCAATAGATACACAAAATTTAAGCCTGAACTACATCTAAGTCTGATGTTAGAAACTGATACCAAGGCATGTGTGGATGGGTTTAAAGCAAAGGAAGCACCACCCAGAGATGTAACAGGTGAGTATCATAACATTTCGCTAACCATGTGTGGCAAATCCATGTTACTTCTGCAGTATCATAGATAATACTGAGACAGCCAGTGTGGTGTAGTGGTTAAGAGCAAGGGACTGGGACTCAGTCCCCGCTCAGCCATGGAGCCAACTGGGAGACTATGGGCCAGTCACAGACTCTCAGCCCAACCTGCCTCACAGGGCTGTTGTTGTGGGGATAAGATGGAGGAGGAGAATAATGTAAGCTGCCTTGAGCCCTTTGTAGGAAAAAGTCAGGATATAAATCGAAAAATAAATAAATGAATAAAATTATTGGCAAACCCCATACAAATATCTGTAAACCAGTTCTTCTATTTCTGTTTGTTAAAAATAAAATGTGTTCTAGTTTTGAAATGAATTCTTGGGTGCAGCATATTCTGAGTGATACTCTAATCCTTTTGTCTAAGTGTCTGTCTGCTGCTATGCTCCTAATTCCATCTGGAGGCTTTTGATGTATTTTAAATAAAAAGCATGACATAGATCTTACAAGCCTGAAATCTGTCCATGCCTCTGCTGATGATTTTGATTGTTAACTTCTGACTGCTTATAAAATTCACTTGTGATATCATCTTTCTTCACTTTATGTTAATAAGTTTTTGTGTAGAGTTGCATTTTAGTTTGTAAGTAGTATGATAAACTGATCTGTTAAAAAGTTTAGCCTGTTATTTTTCATAGTATCATGATTAGTAATATGTGACTATTCCAGTTCAAAATATTTCCACTCACCCTTTTATATTTATGGTCTTAATGGCATTTCCTGTACTGGATAGTTTGCAAGAATCTGTTTTTTTCCCCTTTATGTCAAAGCCAACATATAGCATGGAATACTGTTGTAACCTCAAACATAAATAATTTATTGAAAAATTGATATTTATAATATTCTAGTGAAATACATTTTGAAATCATGTTCACCCATGCATGTTATTTATATTATATAACTTTCTGGCTTATGTGTTTCCTTTCTCTCTATATATGTTTAGAATGTTTTCTGCTTTTCTTAATTAAGTCTTCAATCCTTCCCACTGAAAAACATCCCAGAAAAAGCAAATAATGCAATTGCCTATTTAAGCTTTATTTAAATTAAGTGTTCATATTTTCTTTTAAATATGATTTCATACTGAAGCTTGCTTAAATTCTTTGTCAAGATTATTAAAGTACACTTCAGTGGAGTGTTGCAAATGTTGAGTTTTCTTTTCATCTCTGTGTTTCATAACCTTATTTCCCCTTGCCACATGTGTTCAACAATTTGACTTTATAGACAAGTTTATGTAACTAAATGAAATAAAGCAATAAAATGTGAGTGAGAAGTCACTGTCTCTGAGCATGAGTGGTACAGCGTCAGATTGTACAAAGGAATATTTCTGATCTTTCACAAAATGGATATGGTACTGCTATTTAACTTATGAAGCAATTTGATTTTAGGGATCAAACTAGATAATGCCTATTATTTACTTCAGTAAAATGATACCAATTAAAAACTGTCTTTATATTAAAAAGCAAGATTCCTTGAATTTTTAAGAAGCATAATTTTATGCAATGTTAGTATAACACTTTCCATGAATTTCAGTGCATCTGTTCTGAGTACATTAGATGCAATCCATCAATAGCATACGGTCAAGTAAATTGCACTGTTAACTTGTGGCAAGTTTATATAATTACTTTTTGTTGACCACGAAGTATTTCAGTTTCTTTAAAGTGAAATTCTTGTGGAAGATGGTGTCTAACTTGTTGCTGGGTTTACCCAAGCCTGTGGAAACTTAGCATTGGTATATGATGCTGACCTCTGTGAATTTCAGCCCAGTATATGTTTAGAAATATCTTCATGGTGGTATATGAAATTCTTATTTGCTAGTTTAGTCTCGAACATAGTTAAAGGCCTTCATTTTCTTTTTAGTACCTCTTCAGCTGCCTGGATTGGATCCTAAAAATCTTGTAGCAGTTCTGAATGAAGAGGAAGGATATCATCAAATTGGACCTGTCGAATATTGCAGAGACTCCTTTGTTTTGTCTGTTACAGTTGCATTTGCTACCCAGCTAGAACAGGTAACACTGATACATTTTCCTGATAGTACTGTTTTGTTTGGCATAAGTGGTTAGTTCTAGTAGTGTTTACAGATTCCAGATGGCTGACATGTAGAAGACTGTCTTGTTGCAGCAGATTGTACTTTTTGTCTTGGTAACTTTTTCCAAACTTCTGATTCTGTGTTTTGAGCAGGCATTTATAGTGTTGTTATAGACTATCAAATCAGCTCCAATTTAGCCTGACTCTATGAATGAATGACCTTCAGAATCTCCTATCCTTGGCAGCCTTGCTCAGCTATTGTAAACTATTGTAAACATTATTTGTGGTGGACCAGTTAAAAATATCTAAATAGCCCTCCAAGTAATGATATTGACTAATTATGGGAACAACTTGGATAACTAAGCAGAGGCATCAATTGAACTGTCATCTCTAAATGTACTGATTTCTGTTGTACTGTGGTATTCACAAAATACTTAAATAGACTAGTTGGAATACGGAAGATTTTTAAAGTTTTAGATGCAGGTGAGCATTATTGATTTCTAATAAGCAATTTTAAGACCTTTTTTTTTTTAAATACTAGCTAATACCTACCACAATGAAACTTCCAGAACACCAGCCTGAATTCTTCTTCTACTACTCACTGCTGGGCAATGATGTTACCAATGAACCATTCACAGACTTAATGAACCCGAACTTTGAACCAGAGAGAGCATCTGTTAGAATACGCAGTAGCACTGAAGTTCTAAGGGCTTATTTTTTGGCTCACCCTAAGTTGCAGGTATATGTTTGCCTCTTTTGTATGATAAATTAAGCTTTAGTTGTTATATTTTGTTCTAATGTCTTCCATTTTAGTCCAAAATACATCTTATGCACTAAGAAACTATAGGAAAGTTGCAGGAATTAAGTTTTGTAGAATTTCCAGAGTAGCACCAACAACTGTAGTGGACGGTTGTGCCCGTGCATCACTGTATTACCCATGAATCTTCAGCTCAGACTCCAAACTTTGGAATGTAGTGGCATGACAATGATTTTCTAAGCCTTTCGTGCTTTTCTTCCCCTGATGGATTGTAAATTGTGGCTTATCATGCACTGTAACATAACTGGTTGGTGTATATTGCCAAGTTTTGTCTTGAGGAATTACGGTCTTTGAAGGATAAGGCTGTCTGGGGAAGATTAGAATCTCTGGGTAGCCTTCTAAGGAAGGCTTGATTGCTTAAGTAGTTGGTATGAGATCTATTCCAAACACATACTTTTTAAAGAACTTAATGTTTCCATTTGGATGTGATTGGTTTGATGTAAATTGTGAAATAGAATATATTCAGTGTGGTCTGAATCCCAGTTACTTTCATTATATGTTTTTGAAAAATAGATTCATCTTTGCTGTGGCGACCAATCTCTTGGAAGCACAGAAATACTTCTAACTGGCTTGCTGAGGAAAGCAAATATGGAAATCCATCAACATCCAGTAGCTATCGAAGGAGCATTTGTTCTTGTCCCACCTAACAGAGCTCGACAAAAACTACCACCAGTGCCTTTGGATAGTGCACCTACTGTTGGGGTATCCGTATCTCTACAAAAAGATACCAAAGTGTCTCAGGTACACTTAATTTGTTCTTATTTAGTTTAAATTTTAACATCATAGTATAACAGAAAATACTTAACATCTTAGTATGGATCATCATGCTATTTTGTGAGTACAAAGGGAAGTTTACATTTTTAATTAGACACTCCATTTTGTTCAGGCTGCAGTTCCATTAGTTTCAAAGGCTGAATCTGAAAATGTGAAAAGAGCTTTGTCTACAATAAATAAGCAAGAAGGAAATCCTGAACCCACTTCCCATAATGTACCACCTCAGACTCACCAGTCCCCTTCCGTAAAAGAAGATGCAACTGAAAGTGAAGTGGAAAGTCTTAAGTATGACAAGAATCCAAGGCCACAGAAAAGAGGTAGGAGCTACACTGATAAACTGTACCTTTTCAACTGTGTTCTATGCCACCAAGACACCCTTGCTTTTTTTTTTTTTTGGTGATAGCATGGTATACTGTTGGAAGGAAATAGGTGACACTACACAGTGATCTAAGCCAAATTAAACAGTTTTTTAATTCTCCATGAAATGGAAAGAGAAGGGATAGTATTGGTTTTGCCATGTGAAAAATACAGAGTTCACTTGAATTTTAAGCTAGGCGGAAAGTGGTGATTCAAACCAATGTTACTATGCTTGGATGATTCACCAATGGACAGATTTATCAGTTTAAATTTGAGAACATGCCACCTGGTTTAGAGCTGCCTTTGAAGGACTGCATGGATACTTCTGTAAATTGCTAGGCTTGCTATTTTATTCTGTATGAACAGAATACGGGAACACAAACTTCCGTTTAAGGCCACTTTACAAGATTCCATCAACATGTGGAGAGTTCTTGGAATGTAAGATCCAGCTTGTCCATATAGATCAGCATTCATCATATCTTTAAGATACCAGCAGTAGTAGGCTATGATGGAAGGCTACTTCAGAATCTGGTTTTTAAAATAGAAAACTAAAACCTATCAAAATTGTGGGCACTTATTCATAATTGTTAAAAATTATATTTAAAAGGGCTGTGAAGTATAGAAAACCTGTTTCATATGATATTGATTGGAACTGATGTTAAATCTAATTGTAAAATAAATCACTGTTTATTTTGCAGACTTGAATGCTGAAGCAGTTCCTTCAGCGATTCAACATGGCAGTACTTCTCAGTCTACTACAGGGCAAAAAATTGCTGTTCCTGCTGCATCCCATCATTTCTGTTTCTCGATAGACTTAAGAACTCTCCATAATCTAGATGTTGGGTTCCCTGTCAATTGCATGTTAAGGTACAGATGTTTTAGATAATTTTTCTTTTGAAAGAGATGTGATGACTTTGATTTTGTCATGTGAAAAATTCAAAGTTCACCTGAATTGAGGAGATAAAAAGTGGCTATTCCAACCAAAATTATTGTACTTGGTATCTTGTTCTGTCAATGTACACTACGATTATGTGAAGTTTATTGCTTCAAGGCATGTTGAAGCTTAGTCACATCCTTTGGGTAACATTTCCCAGTTAGGCATTTTCTGAGACTAGTATCCTAGGTCCCAGCTGCGTTGTCTTTGCTGTGGCGTAAACTACACAAGCAGGAGCAAAGAAAGGGGCCCTAGGCTGTTCCCATCACATCCCCTCAGCCCAGACCCCCTTTCCCTGCTTAAAAGAAAGCCTCTCAGAAAGAGTGGCAGTGCCGCACAATTGATTGCACAAGAGGCTCATTCTCTGGCAAGAGCAAGGTTATCGAGTATTCAGCAATCCAGCCCAGTTGATTGCCTCCCCCTTGTACCTGAGAATGGAACATACACCCTTGCTTCCTGCTCCAGATGATCTCTTCTAGATTGCACTCTCTGCTGCACTTCAGGGTGAAGAATAAATTATTCCTGATGACTAAACAACAAGGGTCAGTTCTTAGTGTTTTCTCAGACACATGGGGGTTGAAAATATAAAATAAACCTGTGTCAAGAAGGTCAGGATTTGTACATTTTGTCACCAGATGTCCTAAAAAGAAGTGTAGGACAAGATAACCATGTATAAAAGTAACTGAATGTTTTCTGCTACTAATCATTGTGGGTGTTGTTACATGCAAACCTGCCACTGGGATGAGGCTTATGAAAACACTATAGCAAAGCTCTGAAACTTGTTATGCATCCATAGCTATGTGCATCTCTCTCAGAATCCAAGACAGGAGACTGTCCTGATTTTACTGAAATTGGGGCACAGATCTTGGACCCAGAGGGAATTGTCCAACAGTGTGTGGGTCTTGTAACATCCATTAATGGATAACCATGTTTGCCTTGGAACATTCCCTTTTCTTTGTTCTATAGAGATTTTCTGCAAATGAAGAATGTTGCTATGGCAATTTATGGTTCATGGAATGAAATTTTGTGTATGAATTCAGGGGAACAATTCTCTGCTTCTGATTTAAATATCAATTCCCCTTATCTCCTTTGAAAATAGTGGAAAATTCAAATAAGCCATATCCCCGAGGACTATCCCTCAAATACAGTCAGAATGAATGATTATCTGCACATGATTGCACACTAAGGTCCAAACCTGTGCATCCTTAGAAAAGGCCTTCAACTTTCAGTGTACCCAGGCAGCATGGGATGTCAAAATATAATGCTGGTTGGGGCTACAAATGCGACCAGCTTGTTACAAAAACTCATAATTGTGAGAGAGCATCCAGTATTTCCAGCAAAAAGAGTAACAGAATTCTGTGTAGGGTTTTTTTTTCTGAAGCACAAACAATGGGAAGGAGAATACATCTTTCCTCATTGTGCCAGTCTTCACCTTGGTTTAGAGCTGAGCATCAATGTCAGACTCACACATTCTCTTTGGCAAGCCTCCTTTATTTTTAAGAAAGAGAGAAAAAGAAAGAAAGAAAGAACTATCCTCCCATGCTGAGCAGGGAGTACAAAGGGGATCTGCATATACCCCTCCATGAAACAGGATCCAACCTTATATTATAGGCCCAGGAAACTGAAATTATGCTTTCATTTGAACTTTTTATTAGCCATAAGATAGTTTTGATGCTCTTGGTTCTGTCCTGGTTACTAGCATTTGGTGCAGTATGATCCAGTTACTCTTGTGCCAAGAAAAACATTTATCTAGGTACTTAATGCCTATTTCATTGTATCCCATAGTGGCTGGATGATCCATGACAGCACATGCAACTAATGCATTTGCATTCTCATATGTAGTAGTAGTAGTAAATATTAGTAGTGGTACTAGTACATTTTAAGACAGTAATTTATTACACAGTACTTTTCAAGAATGTGGTTATCCTTTGGTCTAAATTTGGGATGAAAGTGTATGTTTTTAAAGCATCTATTTCATGCTGTTCTTGAAAATCAAGAAAATAAGTTCTGATGTATTTACATAGAAGACAATTATTCAGTGAGTTTTTCTCTGCTTCTGTCTTTCTCAAGCTATATTTATGAACACAAATAATGTGTTCATAATGCAATAATGCTTTCCAGGCCTGGTTGATACTTTCATTGCTTATTTGCCCATCCATAGCTGACAAGTACACAATAAATTTAGACTTAATTTAACCTGCTTAAGACACAATCCTATGCATATTTAGACAGAAAAAAAATCCTTCAATTCCCACATGTCCTACTGGCATATCTGGAAGTTGTAGGCCTTTTTTCTCTTTAAACATGCATAGGACTGAGCCCTTAAACTATTTCATTTGGTTTCTTGTTTTTTTCTTCCTCAATAGGTACTCATATCCATTTTTTGGCAGTGCTGCACCTATCATGACAAACCCTCCTGTGGAAGTAAGAAAAAACATGGAAGTGGTTCTTCCGCAGTCCTATTGTGCATTTGATTTTGCAACTATGCCCCATCAACTGCAGGATACTTTTCTCAGGTAGGCTGTGCTCTGAGGATATTATTTCAATAATGTATATGCATGTGCACAGGATCTGTACACTCCCTGTGAGGACCACAGTTTGCCTAAGTCTTCATTGTTTCAGAATCCACAGGGCAATGATCAAGATATGGTAGATCAGGAATAGCCACCCTGTTAATGTGTATACTTTGTGTACAGGGGCAAGAACAAGGCCTGGACTACAGGGCAGAAGTTTGGGTGGGTGTTTTGCTTAGTGAATCCAAGATCATGTCTGGCAGAACCAGGGAGGAAGGGTAATGGAACTATGTCTCTATATGTATGTTGCACAGAACTGATTAGAGCCAGCTTAATCCTAAAGTTTGATTCCACCGTACTCTTTGAATCTTACTGTCAGGAAAAGGATTCTGCATTAACTTTCACTGAGTCTACTTGAACAGTTGAAGCCTATAAACCTTGTGGCAGCTGTTTTTAATGGCATGTGTATATGAAAAATCCTGTTTGTTGATTGAGAAAGCAAATACAGAGTGGGCTCTTGAACCATTACACCTGTTCACACTCACAATACAAAAAGATGAATTTTTACAAATGTTAATAGCATTTGTAAAATTCTTGTAACAGCATCAACAAAATTATTATTTAGGCTGGTTGACTTCTTTCAAAAACTAAAAAGATACATCAGATGAAGTGTCAAAGTCTACAGCACAGGGTTTTACTTCTAGGATGAAAAATTGTTGCCACAGTTGAGAAAGCCACTCAAAAAACTGCATCCTTGAATTGCAATTGAATTTTTAACACATCCTAGTATTCATTTGGCTGGTCCATCCAAAAGCTCAAAATGTCATTGAAATATTTCTGTTGTATGAATGTGGGTGGGCATCCAGTGGTCCTCAGCTCAACCTCATGTGGGGTGGCTCTAAGAAAAAAAGTGTGGCTTCTGTACCAACCAGCAGATTGAACTATTTGTAGTTTTGGCTCCACCTCCAATGACTGCACCGTTCAGGTTGGCCTTTGCAAAGGAAACATCCTTTCTGGTATTCAAGAGCAATTTCTGTAAAAGAAGATTCGAGAGACAGTTCGGGGAATACGTATTAATGAACACCAAAGCTAGGTTCCTGTGTTTATTTTCTTTCTATATTTCAGATTACCATTGCTGGTGGAGCTGTGGCACAAAGATAAGACAACAAAAGATTTGCTTGTAGGTGTTGCAAGACTTCAGCTTTGTAAAGTTCTGGCTGTAGAAAAAACACGCTTTCTAGGAACTAATGGGGAGCAGTGCTGGCGCCAGACCTTTAGTGACACAATCCCCGTTACAGCAGCACAAGGGTACAGTGTGTTTTATTTATTTCATTGGTTGGTTGCTTGCTTTTCTGTACTACACTGTAGCCAAGCTTTTCAGGGCTTAGCTGTTAAAACCAGTTCTGGTTAAAATCCTAAGTCTTCTAAAACAAATTTTTGCATTAGTTAAAATGTGCTATTTATGTTCAGGTCAAATGGACATTTTAAATGTCAGCTTTTCTAGCCCTAGAAACCTGTGTTCAAATGTATTTTTTGATCATGTGCTTTCTTATTTTGCCTCATTGAGAGCAAAACAGAATGGTGACAAAAGTACCAGTGGAACAGCAGTGCAGGACGCCCATCTACACTAATCTCACGTGGTACTGCAGAGCTTCTGACAGAATGTACACATTTGGATTTTGCAAAAGGGGTTTTCCACTTAAGAATGTACAGTGCTTTTTCTGTAAAAAAAAAAAAAAAGGTGCCGGAACTCACATCTTGTTAATCTTTTATTTAGGGGTTTTTTAGGGTAATCTTTTATTAGCGGAACTGGTGGTTGAGAAGTAATTAGTAATTTTTTTCATTTTTAAATTTGGGGTCACACTTTTACACTAAAAATTAAAAAAAGATTTTCAATTCAACTTTTTTTAAAATAAAGAACTTATTTACTTTTTGCACGTAGCCAGTCACTCTACACACACACAACATAATGGTCACCCCTGGCAGTAAGCACTCAGCGCGCGACCACACAACCAATCCCAAGCCAAGCAGTGTCCCAAGCCAAGCAGCGCCCTCACAATCGGCACGGACACACAAGCAGCACGCATGCACTATTTTAATAATTTTTGCTGCTGACCTGCTATGCCCAACAGAGTGATTCAAAATCACTTGGAAAATCCGTTGGAAAAATCCATCAAAAAAAGGTGCCAGAACGCTGTTTCGGTGCGTTTTATGACAAAAAAAAAAGCCCTCTGTATATATCAAGTTTTGAAATCTAGCTTTCTTGCTCATTCTTTTCGCTTTTGTCTGCTGAGGGTGAAGAAAAAATGAAGACTCAGCTACAACTTGAACCAGAATTTTTTTATTTGTGCATATATAGCTGCATATGCTTGAATTTCAGAATATGATTAGATTAGATTATATGAACATGATCTAAGTCGAACATTCCCTCTATACACATTTCTGTCCCCATGATAAAATATGGATTATAACCCGAGTAGCCACTAGATGGCAGTCCTCCAATCTGAATTGACTTTAGCCCTTCATAAGAAATTTAACTTGCTAATACAAAGAAGCAACTGTAGTTCTGTGTTTAAGTTGATTAGTTTTGAATGTCATATTTATATATCCAGTACTGACCTGATTTTTAAGTGCATTTACATAGTGAACTATTTAAATTGAATTTTATGAAAAACTGGAGAAAGAAAGCTTGGGTCATTGTAAATAAATAACTTTTCAACATGAGTTCCATTTTTATGCTTCTTGAGTCTTTAGTAACTAATGCAGTGTTAAAAAAGTGTGTAACATGTCTGCTGTAATCAATGATTCATCTGGATGTTCTAGCCTATGGCCCACACACACCAGATTCTGTGAGGATGTGAAATGAAGACACACACAGCACAGTCCTATGTATGCTTTGACTAGAAAAATCCCTATGACTTTCAGGATAGCCCATGGAATGCTGGGAGTTGTGGGACTTTTCTTTTTTTTCCAAACATGCATAGTCTTGCACCCTTAAGGTCACAATTATTTGGTTCAGGGCTTTGAGGCTTTCATTTTTGTAGACAACCAAGCATGCTAAATATACAGCCAAACCCCACATTCACAGGCAGCTAAAACTTTCCTCCTTAAGAGCTCTAACAATTTGTCATTTTGTGGGTTTCGTGAATGAGCATGTCTGAATTCTGACGATACCCAGCTAAAGGAAACTTTTTAAAGTGAAGCAGCAGTAGATCCTCAGGTTTTAAAGGAAAGGAAGTATGCTTCTAGCCAGGATCTAATTTGAGCAAGAGGGACCTCAAAGCAACATTAAAGAGGAAGAGCATTCTTCATATTTCAATGGCTGATATCATGACTCAACTAACTGTGCATAGTAATGAGACACATTTCAGGCAAGATAGAGACCTAGTTAACTAGGAATAGCAATAGCTATCATCAGTCTCTCTAGACATGAAGAAAAGTAGATAGGCGTGCTTAAGAGGGTGACACACCTTGCCAGTAATCTGATTTAGAATCTTTAACTTAGGTCAGCTTTCCCCAGTCTTCCTTGGGAGGACTTGAACCACAATTCCCTTCAACCCCAGGAAAGCTTTAAGTTTGTATTTGCAAGATATTGCAAATGCTGCTTTTTGCATTCTTCTTCTATAGAGCTTGCCTTGTAAATGAATGTAGGCAGCACCATCAGCCTCAACTTATTTTGCACATTTCTTGCAGGCCAAGCAACAAGATAGCAGATCTTTCATACACGGTGACACTTGAAGATTATGGACTTCTAAAAATCCATGAGGTTCTGGTATCTGATTCTTCTCAGGTGAGTGGAAACCCATCTTTTCATACCCAGAGAGAAACAGTTTAATTGAAAATCATCTGAATACTTTTTTATGCTTAGAATTTAGGTGCTGCTAAACCACCACCAGTTCCTGCAGCCCAGGCACGTAATGTTACTGAAGTACATCCAGAGCCACGAGAAACTCTAGAATACAAAGCAGCACTTGAACTAGAAATGTGGAAAGAGCTACAAGAAGATCTTTTTGAAAATCAGGTTTGTTTATGCTGTTTATATCAGTTAATCAAGCAATGGTGTCTATTCTAAATGATTATTGTTAGAGTAATATGGTAGCTCGTATGTGCATGACCAATGCTCAGGTGGATAAACACATAGAAAGGGGTTTTTTTTATGATACCCAGTCCTTTACTTATATATTCATACAACAGCATTATATGTTCGGCAGTTCTGTTTTGTCATATTTCTTTTTAGGTTGCTACCAAAATTAAGGGTATAGTGCTTCACAGTGATCAAATATATTCTTAGGCATGTATCATAGGCTAGTTATCCTATCACATCCATTCTGGGACCATTAATCGGTTCACTGTACAGCTTTGAGATGTGTGCGATCATTAATGTGATGACAACGGACTGAATCAGTTATATGTGAATATGCCAGAATACCTGGAAAAGATTCATGGTACCCAATGGATAACATTTCTCTTATCTCCGTTGTGCTAGACTAAAATGTGGAGATTAAGTCACTGACAAAGATAAAGGGTGAACAATACATGTTTTATTCTAGCAGGTTTTTTTATGGAAGAGAATAGTGATTAGTATATCTGTTCCTAGTACTGGGCTGGCAGAATGTTTCTAACAACCCTCATGGAGCAAGAGTAGAGTGAAAGGCTATGGTTCATTAAATGAGTGTGGAGGGTGCTTCATTGGGTTGGCAAAAGATAGCTTGAGATCTAGTAGACTTTCAGGTGATCTACATTAGACCAGCAAGGATTTCTCACTCCCAATTGTTTAATAGCAGAGGCAGCAAAATGTGTTTGCCCCATTTAAATTATGCTCCAAAATGCAGAAAGCTTGTTGTATCCAAGAGTGATTTATTGTTTTCAAGAACTATGAGCTCTATTCAGTTCAGTTCTGATATGCAAAATAAATTTCTAGACTGATAATTCTTTAATGCTAGGTGTATGTCTTTTAAACCTGGCTCTAGTTAGTAAGTCTGGGAGTTTCAGTAAAACTCAAAGTACTTTCCATAAGCCAAACATCTGCCCACCCCTGTGCTGGAGAAATAGCAGGATGATTGCTGGGGAATAATGGATAACAGCAGTGACTCAGGTTTTAATGGCCCAGAGTGGGTTACACAAGGGACAGAACTGATAGATTTAGACCACAGGATCAAAACCTCTTTTAGCCTGAGATTCCATGTCAGAAAAACTCTTGGGGGCTACATTTGAGTGACCAACAGCAAAAGAGATAAGCTGAATCCCCCCAAATATTAGCATATTTTAGCTAGAGATTCTTACTGTGATTAACCAAGCCTGATGAAAAGCATTTCAATCTTTTTTTAGAAGGGGAAAACTGTAGAAAAGCTGGAAAACCATCAAAATCCTCCAGTCAGTTAGGTTGAGCCTTGTTAAATATTGAACATACCTGGTTTGAGTATGTTTAAAAACTCTGCACTGATGCTGTTTGCTCTTAGTTTGCTCACAGAATTATGAAAGAACTCTTAGCTTAGAGTATACAACCTGAACAGCCCCATCCGCTGTCAAGTATGTTCAACATAGTTCCTACTATCAGGAACTTTTCATTCCTAGCTGCTATGGGTCTTTTACGTATGATACTTGTCTTGAAATAGAAGATATGTCGGACATATTAAGCAATAAGGGATGCCAGTAGTTAGAGTGTTGGAGTGGGGACCTGGGAGAGCCAGATTCTAGTCCCTCTTGGCTCACTTGGTGACTTTGGGCTAATATTTAATAACTATCTCAGAAGGTAGTTGTTAGGATAAAATGAAGCTATGTAAGCTGCCTTGGGTGCTTCACAAGAGGAAAGGAATTGGGATAGAAATGCAGTGTAATAATAGCAATGAGAATAGAAATGCAAGCCATAAAATACATGCATACAAGTTGCCATGGCTGAGCTTTGAAGTAACAGTTGCATTAGTTTTCATTTTAAAATTAAGAATTGTGTAATGAATTTTCTGTTGTTTCAAGAAATTCAGTCTTGATGGGTGTTCTCCATTTATGCAGTAACATTTGAGCTTGACTTTGTCTACTCTGTCTAAGATGATAAATTGTATGTGACCTTGTATGTGAGGAAAGATGATTTCTGAAATAGTGCTCACTGAATTGTAGAAATGCTTGTGGGTTTCAAAAGACTATTTTTAAAGAAAGATATGTGTGTTTTTGTAGCTGAAAAAGAAAGAGTTGGCTTATATGCAAGCTCTTGCAGAAGAATGGAGAAAAAGAGACAGAGAAAGGGAAGCATTAGTAAAGAAAAAAGTAAGACATTTTCTCCTTTGAATTGTCATGCTAATGAACCGTTTGACTATTATACTGAACTGTTATACTGTAGAGTAAAACATGTTTGTTTCTTATGTTTCATTATTTTTCATGTAATTTAAAGGTAGAAAACAGGCAGCTATGTTATGAATCTCATAACACAATCCTAGATTTGAATTCAATGGCACTTACTCTCAAAAGTGTATGTCGCAGGGGTGGATAATCTTTTGACCCCTTGGATTGAGTGCAGTCCTGGGTGATTGGTCACCACTGTGTGTGCGTGTGTGTGTGTGTACATGCTCATCTTTCTTCTCTGCCCATTCAAATCTTGGTGTTCAGGGTTGAAGAAATTTAAATGCAACCAAACTAGTGACCTCTGTAGCAGATTCAATGGGTGAAGGTTGAATTTAAAATAGTCTTCATCCCAACCACCATCAGTTGCATGGAAACAACAAACTCTTCCCTATGGCCAGCTGATGGCTGATTAATTTGGAGGTGGGGAAAAGTGAGTGAGGCATTTCAAAACTCCATGGGCTGCATAGACAGCAGCCAAATGCTACATGCAGCCAGTGGTACGCAGGTGGACCATGTGCGGTGCAGAGCATTGCATTTTGCTGAAGCAGTAAATATTAGCAGAGCAAACCAATGAACAGAATATGGAGCTGCTTGTCCAACATGACAGCCCGCTGTGGGGCATGTGCAGCCATCGTTCTGAATATACAACATCCATTCTGGGATTGCTGTGCTGTCAAAATGCAGCAGATATGGGTTATTCGACGGATAAATAAGCATTAATTAACTTTTGTACAGTCCATGGTCTGTCATAGGATTATGTGAGAGTTGTTTAGCCCTCACACAATCCATGCTTGCCATGTTCACACAACAAAACAAACCCCAAGCAGTGGTTGCATATGCAACCCAGTTCCCAGTTAAATCACCCATGATAAATATTCTGTGTTGTTAATATTTGAGAATTTGCTGTATTTGAGTCTAGTTGTAATCCTTATTTCATTGGATTTGAGACTTCTTCAAAACCAGACTTCTGTTACAAAGGTATATTGACCCCAAGCACAAATATTTTAGTATACTTACATTTGTATTTGTCTTTTGTTTTCTTAAACTGATTATATTCTAGGTTGCAGAATATACAGTTTTGGAAGAAAAGCTTCAAAAAACGTTGACTGACTTAGAGAAGCGTGAAAAACAACTTGTCAGTGCAGAAAGTGAGGTAAGTATCACTTTTGTATTGTGCACTTAGCAATAATTCCAGTTCTTCTTAGTGCTTGTCTACCATAGATTTTTTTCTCATATATAGTTTTTGGCACGTGCACACTTTTTTGTTTGTTTGGGATTCTTTTTAGTTCTTTGACAAAGTGAGGTGACTGGAGAAGAGAATGGGAAAGAGGGACTTTTTATTTTACCTGTCGAAAGATTTGAAAATAGGCTAAGATCATCTTCTGTCTGCTGAATATCTCTGTAATAAAAGTTAGATTAGTGACTTCAAACTCTCTGGTATCAAAACTGAAAGAGAAAGTTCTGCTCCAACTAGGAGCAAGGTTTTCTTTCTCCTAATTCCAGGAGTACTGTGGAACATGCTGTATAAATATAGTGTAGCAGTGGAAAGTATTGCATTTTTAATAAGTGCCATCATTTTTTAAAAACTGTTCAAGGAAAATATGTTGGCAGTAAACGGTGGTTGTGAGAGCAATAACTATCAAGAATGCATGCTAAATGAAGTAACACACATTTACATCTATCTGAACTACTTGTAATTTTGAAATTGCTGTTTTATAAAACATTGTAAGCTCCAAATATTGAAGAAAGAGCTCCAAGCAGAGCATGAGAGAAATCATCAGGAGCTTCAAGATGCAACACGGCGGGTCAAAGAAGAATGTGTACATCAGGTTGAGCTGGAGAGGTCAAAGATCAGACAGTTGGAAGAGGACAAGCTCCGCCTTCATCAACAAGTGAGTAAAATGTATGGCTTCGAAGGTTGCTAAATATTTATGTAATGACTGAAAGGGGTAGTTTTTGAACATAAGTGCACTATTAGAGCCAAGTTAAAGTTTGTTTGAACCACACTATTGAGCTATCTAAAGGCATCCTTTTGCCTTAAAAACCTCTGTGTTGGGGGGGGATTATTTATTTATTTAACATTCCTCTATATTGGCCTGAGGGCCCTCTAAGCAGATTACAGTAAGATAAAACACATTGTGACAATAAAATCAATCAATTAAAACACAAGAAACAAAAGACAATAGAAGAAAAGTTTTTATATTTTTTTAATAAAAAGTTTTGGTGACAGAATTGCAGTGAGTCTGTTTTGCTTACAGGAGCCTGTTCCATATCAAAGGTACTTCCACTCAGGGAAGGATACTTTTGGATCCAATCCAAAAGAGTGTAAGCTGAGTATAACCTTTAAAAATCTTCACTGGGTCATTTCATTTTTATTTTTGATATGCTGTTTTCTAGCTACTAATCTTCAAACTGCTGTCTATCAATAATTAAAGCCATAAACTGTGAATAGCTATATTTCTTCTTTAAAGTAGAGGTGGCTATATGTAATATGCAAGAAACAGAAGGAACCATATAAAGCCTCAATAGATGACCCGAAAAAAGTTGATGGAACACAAAGTCCAAGTTCCATTATAAAACTGACAGAAATCTTGCACATTTTTCAGAAATAAATTCTGCATAATGGGAGCTACCATCACTAAGAAGTTGCTTTCTAATGGGAAAGGATGATGCTCAAATGTCATGTCATCCATAACAGTTGCTGACCCACATAGTCTGGGATGGAATCTATGTCAGAGATCATTCCTTCTTCCCTCAATAATAGAAGAATGTTAAGGTTGTCTACTACGACTGTGAACATCTTAGGAGAAATTGTGTAGTTATGAAGTTGCAGCACAGAGCTATAAGTCACAGGTATCTCAACACAAAAATCTCTCTGTGCATTGTATTAAGCACATTTCATCATTCCTCTCAAGCTATCTATCTTACCTATAGATTTTGTTAAGTAGTTCATGAAACAGAAAAATGAATAATTACTAAGAATCATCCAGTGTTTAGACTTAACACTCTACATCAGACTATCTGCCGCAAAGTTCATCAAAAGGCAGAAGCATAGGGAGTCAGAAGGGGCCTCCCAGGCCATCTAGTCTGAGCCCCTTGACTTTAGCCAGCTCATGTAATACCCAAAATGTGCTTGTCCAGTCTTTCCTTGAATGCCCTCACTGATGGGACCTCCACCACCTCTCATGTAAGCCCCTTCCATATCCTAGGTGTCCTCCCTCACTTCAGCGTCCCTGAAAATATTTTTAGCTTTGCTTGAGATCAAGTAGCTTTCAGGAACAAAATCATATATGTGAAAGTTCACAATTGTTACAGCCTTGTGAAGAAGCTTGTTCTGGGGCCAGATGGGTGATATGGCATCCAGTGATGAGCAAAATGGTACAATACTTATTTCATTTTTATCACCACAGAACTTTGTGAGAGAGGTTAGGCCAAGATATAACGACCTGGTTTACACATAACAATTGTTGTATATCATGATAGCGCAGAATTCAAGTCCAACTACGCTAACAAACCAGGCCTTGTTAATACATAAACCAGAAAGTGCCTGTTGTTGGGTTGTAACCTAAGAATTTTTTTAAAACCATGCGTTGTCATTATATGTGAACCCAGATCCATGAATTGTTCATAAGTTGTTTCACCAGGCTACAGAGATAGCTGCCAAGAATGATTAACAAACCCTGGGCAACTCCTGTACATTTTAGTACTATTGCACTGCAAAGACGGCTGGCATACTGGGAAGATAACAGTCAGCCTGGGAGTTGAGAAACCGAGTCACAATCTGTTCTGTCATCTTCCAAACAAACCATGGATTAAATAAGCTTTGTGTTAGTTTTGTGTGCAGACAAGGTCAGTTACTGTCATAAGGTCATGACTGAATGGATTTGAACTTGGAGTTCTCTTGTTTTATTCTGATGCTTTTCAGTATATTTTTGGTTCTGATCTTGGAATACTTGGTGCTAGTTTCACTCAGTCCTCATTTGTATGATTGTGGCAAACCATGAATTAGGGGTGGAGAGACAGTTATTCAACATGTATCCAGTGTAGAATAGCATGTTTCTACCTTGTCTTTGTGAAACAAAATGCTGTTGTATCCTTCTTTAGCTTTGTAGATAAAGATTCCAGGTAAAGTGTTCTCACTTCTATGTACTGCATACAAGATGGGATGTGGCTTTTTCCTATATGTTTCACTCTTATAAAACTACAGAATCCCTGACTCTTGCGCTTATCACCTTCTAGCAACAATAATAAATCCATGGCATCTTCTATCTGATTGACAAAATCTTACTTCCAGCTCTGTGTTGTGTTGTCATTCATATGAAAACCCTTTAAAGAATTCTGTTTTATAAACAGCTGAATGAAGCACAAAACAAGCAAAAGGTGCTGGAGAAAGAGTTTCAGCAGTACAAGGAGCAGCAAAGTAGCAAACCAGAAATCCGACTACAATCAGAAATAAGTATTCTAACTTTAGAGAAGGTATGTCTATAGACTTTTAAACAAATATTTCAAATGTATTTTTCATTCCTAAAGCTTCAGAGCTAGAATAGCATTTTATACAGTTAAAAAATAGAAAGCTCAGTTAAGAAAAACATGAAATAAACTCCATACTTAATCCCAGCCACAGAATAGCAGCCCAAATGTAAACAAAACAAGGCAATCCATTCTAGATGTAGCAGCTTTGAAGAAGGTGCCAAGGATGGGAGTTCTCAACTGTGAAAGAGCCTCTGAGAACTCCTCTCTGCATGCTTTTGCGATTCATCTGTGACAGTATTTTCCAAACTTTTATTGCTTAAAAATACTCAAGTAGAATAGACTTAACATTGAGTTTTTGATCCAGTTTATTACTGTGCTTTCACAGAAGGAATCATGGTAAATAAGAGACGTAAGTAAGTGTTAGCAAATTGTTAATTTATGACAAGACATTTGCCATTAGGTTTGAAGTGAACTCTAGAGGCATTGCTTGTATCAGTAGAACTCGGCTGCATTTAGACTTTTGTTACTAGTGATAGCTTGGTGTGTATGTTTTTAAATGTGTGTGTGTGTGTGAGTGAGAGCGAGAGAGAATGGGGTGGGGGGGGAGAGAGTATAATGTCTGTTAGACAGCAGTGTGTATATTTATTTTCATAATTCTAAACAAGCCATGCCTTGGACTTAGGATGGGCAGTGAACCATCCAGATTACCAAAAAAGGCTGTTTTTTCTTTGGGTTTTCTTGGCAAGCAGTTCTTGTCCTTTTTGTGGTAGTGGGAAAAAGCTGCTAATTTCATGCACATTCTTAAATTCCCAGACAATGGTATAGTCTCAGACTTCATTCTCTTTCCCTAGAGCAAGTTCCTAAAATCATTTATCTCTTCCAGTTATGTTAGAATAGTGGTCATTTTGGATATTTGAATATAATCCATTAATACTATTGTGTATGAGTCTGCCTACATTTTAATTACATTATGATGTGATATGACAGCAGTTGCAGGTCCCTTTATCATAAGGCTATGGATGTGTCTATACGTGTGTTTGCTCACTCCAGAAGGGTCTATATTACCAAATCATCTTTATTGAGTGCTTTTATTTTAAAATTCCCAGTTTATTTCTAATTCTCAATTTGGAGGCATGGACTGTAACTTCCTGATCTTGTTTTCAGATCCTACAGGGTCAAAATATTATTTGTGTGTTCATGTATTTACAGTTGAAATAGATACACAGCTAATAATGGAATAGTCCAATGTTATTGGCATTGCTTAAGAAGGCCAGTTAAGCTGCTGCTTTTGAGGGAAGGTAAATCAATTAATACAAAGACATGATCTTTCAAATGGAAAACTTAAAAGGTGCAATCTAACTAAGTGAAAGGCATGGACTAGCTACAGTTTCAAGGATGAGACATACAAGACCCTTACGTCATTAATTAAGCTGAAATACGAACAGCTAGTACTTATTTTACAAAAATGAATGTTATCTTTGACTCCTTTGAAGATGTTTATAAACTGTTTACATGATCTGTCATGGAGTATGGACTAATCCAGTTTCAGTTTGTTGGACAATAAAAATAGAGCCATCGCTTAAACAGTGATATGCCTGTGTGCCACAATATTTACATCAAATTATATAACAGCTTTGGATGGGTATATTTTATACTAAACAGTTTTTGTAATCCAGGCTCTGTATATGTACTTGTGTAAAGGTTATTACCACTGTTACAGTGTTTGTTGATAGAATTTCCTCTTTATTAGGGGGACCTTGAAAGGAAGCTGGAATCTGCCACCAAGGCGAAATTGCACTACAAGCAACAATGGGCGCGAGCTTTAAAGGAACTAGCAAGGCTAAAACAGGTGTGTAGCGCAGATAAGATCAATAAACAACAGATCATTGTGATACAATTAAGGAATGTTATGCTGGATACATTCATTAAGTGCTCTAGTCCAGCATCTTTACTATAATTAATTCAAAGGAAACAATATTCCTTCTTGTTTATATCAGCCTTCAGACTTTGGATCATGAGAATTAATTGTGTCCACGTGCCTTCCTCTTGCATGATTCAGACTGCGTGCTCTTACATGGGATGGTCTTACTCTTCTGAGACTGCATACACTTTAACCTGTTCTTTAAAAAAAACACCCCATCATAACTGCATTTACGCATCATGCTAAGCCATTCTGTGAATAAGGCTCAACTGAGCCACCTTGCTATTTTATGCAGTCACACACGCTATCTGTGAGCCCACTTAGCTGTTTAACAGTAATAGGAGCAGTTTTGAATTTCAGAACACCAAGTAGGCTTGGTATTATAAAGCTTTTGTACAGTGTGTCTCTTTGCAGCACTTATGAGAGATACTTGTGAAATAGTGTTTATCCAAGATGTTACTAAAGATATTTTAAGTTGGAAAAAGGAACAACTGGCCAGCCTGCTTGCTGATGTCTGTGTCAAAAGTCTAGATGGGGTAATGTGATTTATAATGCTTGATTATAACCTCGAGTGTGTTGTTTTTGTTGGTTGATTCTTAGCTAATTCTTGCAGAGAGCAAAGTGTAATACAAACATGGTTGCATTCATCCCCATACAACATGTTTGTGAATGCTGACAGCAGAATTTAATATTAGAAATATTATACATTGGAATCCAGAATTAAGAGATGTTAAGTTTCTTAGTTCAAGGTTTCCTAAACTAAAATTCAACACAGTAAATCCATGGGGCCATAATTTCAGTCCCAGTGATGATACTGATTCTGGCTGGTGATTTCCCCACATTAATTAATTCAAGTGCACCCTAGTTTCACTAGTCCCCTGGATCATGGTTTGCTTCACTTAAACTATAAGTAGTTATGATGTTCCATGATTACCTACAGTGAAACTGTTGTTCTTGGATTACTGGTTTGGATGACAAAGAATTAAAATTACGGCCTTTTTACTGTTGACAAATAGCAGGTACAAAAGCTTAGATCAGGGGTCTCAAACTCGCGGCCCGCGGGCCAGTTGCCGGGACAGGCGGGGCACGGGGGAGGGGCCCTGCAGCCTTCGAAGCGCCGGCGGTGCCCGGGCCAGACTCCGGGAGTGACGCGGGATGAGCGGCCCACCACCACCGCGGTGGTGGAATACTTGATGCGGCCCAGCCTCACCCAGACTCTACTTCCAGCGTCCCCCAGGTAAGTTGAGTTTGAGACCCCTGGCTTAGATGATCCTCTTTGATATATTTCTTACTAGACAACTTTGTCTAGAAAGCCATAGGAAAAGTCAGAATGTCAGCTCCAGCCTCATGAAAGTGCTCCAAGGTTGGAGTCAGGATTCCCTGCGTCCTCATAGGTGTCACATTTCTTTCCACACCACCTGTGGACTTCTTTCTTTCTTTCTTTCTTTCTTTTTTGGTGGCGCGGGGGACATTCTGCTGTCTTATGAGGAACCCTGGCAGTGCCTCCAGCTTCTGTCTTTGTGAGCTGGTGTAAATCACATAATCAAAAAACCAAAAGGTTTTGCGGGGTGAGGGAAGTGCAGAGGCAATCTTTACCTTAGCGTTCCTGCCCTCCATTGGATGCCCATAATCTGCCAAGTTCAGAGGTTACAGGCAGTCACATTGGATCACATCATTCAGCTTTATAGCAGCTTTCTATACATTCTACAAACACTTAACTTTTCTGTGTATATCTGTTAATAGTTTCACTTCTTTTAAAACTTTTTCAAACAGTAAATCTAAAAGATTTTTCAGCTGTACTTTGAATATAGATTTACAAATTTAGGGGACTTAAAGAATCTTAAGTCTGCTAAGTTCTGATGATTTGTGTAATTTTTTGTTTAAGTTGGATTGATACCATGTTAATTTCAAATTGATTATGCTAAATAGTTATGGAGTAGTTATTTCTGCCAGAAACTTGTCACAGCAAAGCTCTCTGGAGACCTATACAAAGCATTTATGTTGTGAGAATTAGACATAAAAGACGTATCTTGGATTGTTAATAAATGTTAATGACAAAACCCAGCTGGCAAGGTGATCAAATGCTTTGTGACCATTGCCAAAGAAGTGTTTAAACAGATTTCCATTAATCCAAAATGAAATGTATAGTGAAGCTGTGAATTATAGATTCATGTCAAGCAATGCAAGCATCTAGCATATCGTATTATTCCAATCTGTTTAATTGGTAGCCTCCCCACCCACCCGCCCAGGGCTTTTTTTTGTCATAGGACGCACCTTTTTTTTCAATGGATTTTTCTAAGTGATTTTGAATCGCCTGTGTAGCAGGTCAGCAACAAACATCATTAACATAGTGCCTGAGGGCTGCTTTTGTGTCCTTTTGTGTCTGTGCTGATAGTGAGGGTGCTTGCTCCCTGCTCGGCTTGGGATTGGTGACTGCCAGCAGGGACCATTATGTTTATTTGTGTGACTGTGAGTTCCGGCACCTTTTTTTTTTTTTAACAAAAAAAGCACTGTTAAGAGTCCATACCTCTGTTTGCATGCACACACATAAGCCACTACTAGTAGGGATGGGGGACTTCTTCCACTCATAGGACTGAATCATTCAGTAGTGATTGTGGTTGTTGTTTGCTGTCAAGTCATCTTCAACTTACAGTGACCCTATGAATAAAGGCTCTCTAAAATGTCCTGTCCATTGCAACCCTGTTCAGCTCTTGTAAACTCAAGGCTGTGACTTTTCTTTATAGGATCAATCCATCTCATCATTAGTCTTCTGCCTCTTCTTCTGCCTTCAACTTTCCCTAGCTGATTATTGACTTCTTCAGTGAGTCTTGTCTTCGCATGATGTGCCCAGAGGATGACAGCTTCAGTCTTTTCATTTTTGCTTCCAGTGGTTTGATTAGCAATTTTGTAACACATGAAGACATCCTTAGAGCAGCTTGAAGGTCCATGGTACACAGCCTGGAATTATCAAGCATGATACCACTAGCGGGCTTGCAAATTCTGCTTTTACAATGCAAATGTTCTGGTTTGTTTAGGGATTAATCAATCCAGAATCAACCCATGGCTAATCTGTCAACAACCCAGAGTGTCTGGGTTCAGATGCGACACTAGAATCAATAAATGGGGTGATCATGGATTGTTGATTGGAAGTAGTAGCAAAGAAGTAGGGCATTCACTTCTACTAGATTTCACAATTTGTGAGTTCAGTAATCTACATCTTGACATTTTCTGCAAGTCAGCCCTATATAAAATCAGATGTTTACTGTCCAGTTTCAGAAGTTGAAATAGAAATAACTGTGGATTCTGGTATAAGAATTAATTTTTCATCTTGAGGTTTAAGAGAAAAAATCCTTATTAATATAAGAAATACTAAATTGAAGAGCTATAGCATATTTTCATTGTAGCTATAACTGGAAAGAATGTTGCAATTCAGCTTTTGGTGATTACAAAGGGATCTGCCTGGATTTTGAATGTTTCTGTGAAAACTCAAAGTATGTATATTTGAGATAAGTGGTTATTAATGAGTTTAGGTCTTACCATTTTTGTACTCAGTGCGGATTTGTTTGCAGCAAACCAGTACATTTATTTTAAATAAACACAGACTTTATTGGCTGACACTGGCCCTATCTTGTCCAGCCTCCTGCTTATCCTCTCCAAGTAATTAATGTGATTAATTTACAAGTAATTTTGCCAAGAAGAGGATGTAAATCTTTACTTAAAAAAACAGTTAGAGGTCCAAGTCTTGGTTAAAAACTGTGTCTTGAAACCATCCAGACCCTCCTACTGACTTGTCAGCTCTGGGTTATTTTCAGAAAACTTGAGTTGAGTTCCTTCGATTCAGTTGTATGTTTTTTCCCACAGATTTGTTTGATATGTGCAAGTGGGATAGTGAATAGTGGCCGCTATTTAGCCATTGTTTAGTCTAGTGTATGTATGTTTACATCTTCCCTCTGGATTTATAAGCTGCTATGACAAAATAAAGATCATTCTCACTTGATTGAACAGACTTTCAGCTCTAGCACCTAGCACCATGCAAAGATCATGTTATGGATTTATTTTTAAAAAATAGTGAATCACTATTTTATGTTTTGTTGATGTTGCCATACAACGTGCAGGGCCAAATAAAAGTTGAGGTGCTATTGGTTTGTTGCAGTACTATAAAATGCTTCTTTCTCTAGTTCTTCAGAGAAGTAAAAAGAAATTCTGTATAGTAGGATTACATTAATATGAGAAAGATATAAATGATATCCATTATCCTGTTTCATGCTATATACCTGAAGTTTTCTCATGTCTTGTTAGTGCGCTATGTTGGTAGAGTGCACAGACATGGACTGTTTAATAGCTTTAAGGCAAAATAAGAGAAGAGGTAGAAATGTGCAACTGTCCATGTGACTCTTGATCCTGTACATCTTAGTTACATCAAGTGATCAGTCATGCTGATGTGAAGTTCAGTTTCCTATAACATAACCCCTTCATATTGGGGATTAAAAAGTTCCTTTATTGTATACGGCTAGGCTGGCACAGTTGCTGCTAGTCAGAGACAGGCCTCAGGTCAACAGCTTGTTTTGACATCCCTCCACAGCAGAGCCCTTTCTCTTGCTTCTCCCAGAGAAATGCTGCCACACATTTCAGCAATCTCAATTTTCCTTGGAGCTGTTAAGAAAACACTGATAATATTTGCTCTTCCATATACCTGAGAATAAGGGGAAAAGCCATGGAATATAGTGGTGCATGAGTTAAATATTAGTGGCACAACAGATTGATTGAAGAATAAGGTTCTCAGTGGACATTCCATGCCTTCCCTAAATGCCTCTCTAAAGAAGCTAGATAAGCATGTTGATTGAATTAAATGGCCTTGAGTCTTTCAGTTCAGTGATTTTATGAACAACACTGAACCTCTTGAAATGCTATTCAGATATAACAGACTCTAGAGAGCTAGAACTATAGATAAACATTTCAATATATGGCTACTCTGTCAATTGCATACTAATGGAATCATTAAGATTGCTTCAAGGAGTCACTAGTTCCAGCACTCATATATTCAGGGGCAGGGGCGATAGAAACCTTCACAATTCATTGTTTGTCCTTCTGTAAGTACAGTAGTCTTAAAGATGAGATTGTTGAAGGGTTATTATTACCGAAATTGGTTAGAGTTACAAAACCCAAGTAGATCAAATATTCTGCTGCACAAAGCTTGTGCAATTTGACATGCAGTTCAAGAATTGCCAAAACTTGAAGGGAATGCTGGGATACCCCTTTGAATGATCTTACTCTTTCACTGGCATCCTAGAAGTATTGCTGCTGCAAACTGGCCAGTCCAAAATGAATCCTCACATGTGTGGAAAGATCTACGATACAGCAGTACCTCGGCTCATGAACACCTCAGTTCACACCCAAATCAGGTTGCGAACAGAAATTTCATAAAAATTTTGCTGCAGGTCGTGAACTCTGCATCGAGTGACGATCGCGAGCATGCCTGCCTTCCTTGCACAGGTGCGATTGCGGTCATTCTGGGAGGCAGGGGGAGATGGCCTTGATTGTACCCGTGTTCCCTGCCCGAGCGTGCCCACACCCGCCTCCCCCACATGCCCACGCATGCCTCCCCCCCGCATGCCATGCACCCGTGCCTGCCTCTCCCCCCACACGCCCACGATTGCGCCCGTCTCCCCCCCCTGCACAATTGCTGGGGGAGGGAGGAGATGGCCAAGATCTTTGTTGTTCTTTGTCACTTTGCTTCAAATTTTTGTGAGTTAAAAAATAGTTGCAGAACGGATTAACCTTATTTACATTGACCCTTATGGGGAAATTTGACTTGGGTCACGACCAAACTCCTGGAACGGATTAAGTTCATGAGCCAAGGTACCACTGTACTTCAGATAGGCTATTTGCATCGAGTAGACAGCAGTAGTTTTCAAGACTTGAACTAAGATGTATGGTTAGGTAACCATTGAAAGAAATGGTGGTCATCTTTCTTCTTGTACTGAAGAAATTGTCTGGAAGGGTTACAATGGTCCCTGTTCGATAATCCTATCAAACATGTAAGAGGAAGTTTTTGCATGTGCCTAACCAAGATGGCCCATGAATCTTCTGTTAACATTACTTTGGACCTCGTAAGGATCTGCAGTTAGAAGCAATACTGTGTGTATTTGAAACAAGTCTCTATCGCAGAAAATAAATTTCCACCTTCCTTAACTGCTGAGAAGTAGGACTTGGATATTTTTTTTTAACATAGAAGCTGAAAACTAGTGATGAATGTTTTTAACCCAAAGACACATGTTCTGTAATGGAATCAATTCAATTAGCTGTGCAATCTTATTAATGTCTGTGCAGAAGTAACTCCTGTTGAGCACAGGACTCCTCAACTCTGGAGTTGCCTTTTCCTGGAGCCACACTAAAACTTGAGTATAATCATCCTGAAGTTTGAATATATTTTATTCAGATAAAAGGTTTAATCATGGTGATTTTATGATTAATAAGGGTACTGGAATGGAAGTGTACACACACATTCATTAGAAGTTTGGTTGTAACAGATATGATACTTAGAATAGATATATGATACTCAAGTTTGGAGGGGCACTCACTGGAGTCAGGGAAGGTACAATGCACTTTAGTGGATAAAAAGAATACAGAGTAGATTATCTGCCTTGGTAATTGTTATAGTGGGATGCCTTAATCTTAACCTTTTCCTTCTGTCTTGAAGGTGCTCAGGAATCATTTTCCAGTTTCAGTAGCAAAGAGCCAACTTAGATATGTTACACAAACTTTTGTGTATTGACATGACAGTCTTTCTCACAGCAATTTTATTCCTTGAAATTGTGTTTTTTTCAGTAAAAGTACTTTAGCGCTTTAGTCACTTATAACTTCCTGCCTTCCTTTCTGTGTAGAACAAGAATCACCCATACCTGCTTACCAAAACTAGGTCTATGATATGTCTACAAATCTAGGGATGTCAAGATCTAGTTACAGTCAGTTTGTTTAATTTGACCTATTTTGTGTTGCTTTTAAACTGCCATCATAGAAAAATTAACCCTGTAGAATGAAGGTCGGTCAGTCGGTCTCTCTCTCTCTCTCTCTCTCTCTCTCTCTCTCTCTCTCTCTCTCTCTCACGCTCGCTCGCTCGCTCGCTCGCTCGCTCGCTCGCTCCACATCTACAGTTTGTTATTTATTTATTTGTTTATGTAGGAAGGTTCTATGCTGCCCCATTCGCCGAAGCCTCGGGGCGGCTCAGAACAATAAAATTGGATAAGTTGGCAGCTTGTTCAAATTTCTCTGAGATTTAAGTGTAACAGCTTGCCTTTTCCATAGCGTGAGCAGGAGAATGCCATGGCCCGCCTTAAAAAGCAGCAACAAGAGCTTGAGCATATGAGACTGCGGTACCTGGCAGCAGAAGAGAAAGAATTGGGGAAGGCACAGCGGCAGGAGCTAGAGGATATCAGAAATGAACTGAACAGGTATTGTACCATTTGTTGGATTTTTACTTCTGCTGCTGAATAGGTGAAGGTTCAGCTAAGTCAAATTTAATTGGCTGTCAGTCCAGTAAAGGAACACAGCTTTTTGTCCCTTAGGTAATATTTGCCCATTTATAAAGTGTAACAATCTTGTATTATAGGAAATCTATGCCAAAGGCCACCAGACTCAGTTTTTTATCTTGACTGTAGCTATATTACAGCAACTCTTTTTTTACCTCTTGCTCTGAGCAAACCTGTTTGCTGCATAAAAAAACACATTAATAGTGTCTGTGCCTGTTCTCACATCTCTGGGAGGCCTAACACTTTATATTTTAAATGGCTCAGTACTTCCAATACCTTTTGACCTTATGTCTTCTATATGTTTTCATACAGTTTCATACTTGTTTAAAATCACTCAGGTCTATAGACACTGGATCAAAAGCATTCTTGTCTTCCAGCTGATGCAGTAAAGTAAGCTCTATAGCTCTTAATAATGGATAATAGTGTCCGCTTCTTTTCAGTTGTGCTTTTTAGTTCAAGTTAATTTCTGGAGACAAATTCATGATCAAAACTAACACAGCATACGTCAACTGAATGTACTGTTTCTTCTTCTTAGATTAAAACAAGAAGAAGACAGAAAGCAATCACAAGATGCACAAGACGTTTTGGGGGTGCAACTGCAAAACTCTCACATTCGGCAAGTAGATGAGAGTTTAGATGACTATCTTGCACGACTAATAGAAGAGAGGGATACCTTATTGAGAACAGGTGTGTACAATCATGAAGACCACATCGTAAGTGAGCTTGATCGTCAAATCAGCGAGGTGCTTGCCAAGAGAAGCAGAAGCAAGTAACCAAACCTGCAAAATGGAATTTTAATTTTTCTTCATAAAAAGTCTGTGTTTTAATGAATGGTTCATTTTATAAGTTACTGAAGGATTTGCACACACGTTCTGCTTTTGTCTCCCAAGACTTACTGCAGTATAAAAGTAGCTCTATTCTACTGTTGAAGCCTTAAGAGAAAAGAAGCATTAACTGATTTTTTACACGATGTTAAAATGTCTGGACATATTTAAATATTTATTTTTGCAGATGGTTGAGTATTCCACAACTCCTCCCTGTTGCCTCTGCTTGTTTTATTTATAGAAGCTTTTAAAACTTCAGTTCTGCATTTCTGTTCAGCATTTTAATTACTTGTTTTATAACTGTTTACCTGTCCATGTGTTTTAATAGATTTACATAGAAACAGTTCAATAAAATTGCACTAGGAGAAAAGCCTAACAGAAACATACCCGATTATTTAAATTGAGCCTATGTGTAGATACATTGTACCTTGTCACATTTGCAAATGTTCATTATATTTATGAATTATTCTAAACAAACTACTATAACTGCCATTCAAGAGGCCAAATATTTAACTGTATTTTGTATGATGAAGATCACTCCTAGTACGTATTTTCTGTTAAAATGTTTCATCTTTGTTAACGGCAAGGAATTAGACCTAGATTAGTCATATTTAGAATAGACCCACTGAAATTTGAATTTACATTTGTCAGAATTAACTTGTCACATTGATTTCTGAGGGTCGGTTCTAAACATGACTGAATCTGGATCCAATCCAAAAGAATGTGCCTAATCTGTTCGTTTTAATGAGTCATGTGCTATTCTGAAGTAAAAGTTGGAAGAGCACTTCAGGAATGTTTGATAGAACATGCCAGAGTTTTAAGTTTGAGCAGTCATGCAGAAAACCTTCTAACCTATTAAAGCATCTTCTATGCATTGTAAGTTTACAACCATAACAGTACATTGATATGGCCTGTTTTCTATACACTGATAGTATTTGCATGAGAGAAATTATGCGCATGTTAAATTATATGAAGACTGTTGGGTATGTGCATTTGTGATGATAAGGCAACTATATGTAATGATTATCCAGTCCATGCACTCAGTCAGAAGAAAACACAAAGCCATTTGGATATTATGCTTGCATCCTCCTACACATGACACAAACATTCATCATGGTTAATTTAAACCTCAAATAATGCCCACCACTTGAGTTTAGATGACAGCAGAAGCCATGGCAAATCCCAAGTGGGGTTTGCATATTCACAGTGATAGACAGCATGCATCACGGTGCCCCAAGGGTTAACTCATGTCGTGCTACTGTGTCATCCAAACCAAGTCTGTTGTAGGGAATGAGCATTTCATAAATAGGTCAGTGAATCACTCCAGAGGGTTTTAATTAAAAACCTTGAAAACAAATCTAACTGTATCAGACTGCATGCATATTGGAAAAGAAATATAAAGCTTTCAGAAAGTGAGGTAAATTTAATTGAATCAAAGGAGTTATTAAATGCTAGTAATATGGTTTTGAATTATTAAATCTGTGCAACTGACAATACAACTGGCTAAATTCAAAGAAATCACTCATTGTTATGATGCACAGCTCAATTCAGTATCTCATAAAAAACCATGGAAGGAACCTGCAACCTAGATTTTATTTCTGACCAGATATCCTCTAGCTGAGCTACAGAAATCTGAATTTCCCAACACTGCAGTGTGGAGTGTAGCTATTTAGGGCATGATTGAAATAAGTCCATTGTCATGTGCATGGAACACATGTGGTTGCTCTCTTCTGTAGCATAGATGGGAATGCTTTTCCCATTCCATTAACAGGAACCATCATGAATGTCACCTCTGTATGTAAACAGAGCTCTTTCTGAATTGGGACTGCTATGGTTGCAATTGATGCCAGTGTCTTGTTATATCTGATACTCTTAGGATATTTGGGCTACTACTTGTTTGTTGCAGCAGTTGATGAATAAGAATTTTTCTCCCTTGATGCATCTTGCATGGCAATGGCCATAAATAAAATGTTGGAGCCACACATGTAGCCTTGTTCACGTTGGCCATGGTGGCTGAACAGTAAGCCAATTAATTCTTAAAGTTGAATATAAGAAAATCTGAAGGCTTGACTCTGTTACATTCTTGTTACATCCAGATGTGCAGTTTGTAAAACTTCTTGCAAAAAATGCTTGTTGAATACAGGTAAATTTTACACAGTATTTTAGTCTACTACATTCTAGTAAAAAAACGGGCTCTATGTTTTGTGTATTATGAGACAAAACTGAATTTAAAAATCTTAGCAGCTGCTTTTATTTGAAAACAATCTAGATGTATCAGCTATTCAGTTCTGTCTCAGAGACATTTTGTCTTACCTGTAGCCGTGTTCCCATACAGGTTTTTTAAGGTTTTGTATTTCTTGTTTAGCAATTGCAACGTAAAAAACCAGATGCAAATTGGTTTATATCATTGTTTCTAAATGGACCAAAAAAGGAGGAAATTAAGTTTTCTTATATAATTAATTTTGACTAATTATACCAATAGTATCACAAATAATTTTGTGTTATCAAGGAGTGTGTATGTATGTGTGAAATATTTTAACTGAATGGCATCAATAATTTGACATACTAACACTGGGAATAATGAATACGTGCTACAACGACAATTTGTAAATATGAATTGTGCAGTGTTAGTGTTTTATTAACATGTGAACAGAGGAAATGTTCAATAAATCCGGAATGTTCTTATCTTTCAAGTGAGTTACATGCTCCAGAGCCAAAATAGATCTGATCATGTTCTAGGTTTGCAGTTGTCTTTCAAACACTAGAGGGGGGCCTAACATTAAATGAGGTCAGTTTTTAAAATCCAGAGTACTTTTTTAAGCTTTAGTGAATATGTGTTTTATTAAATGGAGGTTATTAAAACATTCATATTTGTGTTTTATTTAATTAAGTTGTACACAACTTTACATATCACATACCCATTTAAAGAATAACTACAAGCCATCACAGATAGCTTTCTCTACTAGACTATTTCTGAATATCTTTGCTAGCAAATCTGCCAAATAGATCCAGCACTTGGGACATGTGGAGTGGTGGTTACAATGCTGAACTGTGCCCCTGGGAGATCTGGGTTCTAGTCCCCACTCAGCCATGAAGCTCACTGGGTGACTTTGGGCCAATCATTCACCTTTAGCCTATCCTGCCTCACAGGTTTGTTGTTGTGAGGATACAGTGGAGTGGAAGAGGACGGTGTAAGGAGTCTTGGGTTCCCAAGAGGAGGGGAAAAGGCAGGAGATAAATGCAACATAATAGTAATTCACTTGCCATTCCAAATGTGGATTTTCCCTAGCAGATGTGCCAGCACAGTGCCAGTTACAGGGAATGAATGTATGCTTGAGCCAGTCTGTTTCTGTTGTCTCCCTTTCAAAGGAAGGAATATACTGTCAAAACTGTTCATATGGCTCAACAGTTGGAGAATGTGCATGGGCCATTGTTAGAAAGGATTGCCATGGATGCAGCATGAAGAGTTCTGCAACTGTTGGCCAGCTATTGCTGATATGGTGGAAGAAAGAATCTCACATGCTTTAGCACAGGGGTGTACAATCTGTGGCCCGTGGGCCGCATGCAGCCCAGGATAACCATGAATGCAGCCCAACACAAAAACCTAAGCTTACTTAAAACATCATGAGATTTTTTTGTAACTTGATTACACAGTTCTCACATGTGAACTTTGTAGATGACAGTTTCATGTCTCAGTGTCAAGTAAAATAAATGTATGTATGCTAAACACAGTGCTGTGAACAGTGAAAAATATGCAGCCTTGCTTTTCGATTTGATAACAAGGATTTGAAAGCAGATTTCAAGATTTCCAGGAAAATAATCATTATTTTGGTATATTTGCGACTCCATTTGCAGTTGACATAAATATGTTACCTGCCAATTTTCAAATGAAATGCATATTCTGCATTCTGACATTCAAGTTAAAGAAAAATTTGATCGTGGACTTCTCGAGGTCCTATCTTCCAGAGGCAAATATCACTAACTTCACAATCATGCCTTAGTCATGTCTTCACTTTTTGGCAGTACCTACATTTGTGAGCAACTAAGAGTAAAATTAGAACCAGAATATCTGATGAGCACCTTGAGAACTCACTGAGAATTTCAACTACTTCCATCAAACCAGATATTGATGCATTAGTTTCTCAAATACAATGTCAAATATCCCACTAGTTTTATGTTGCCCTCTTTTCTGCTTGACAATTTTAAAAGACACTCTGAACGGGGCGCCACATAATTAGGATTATTATGTGAGGACTTTTTTGCTTATCTGTGGTGGAGGATATCAGGAAAGTTATTCACAGACTTTTTCTTTTTTCTTTTTTTGCTCATTAACTTTCATTAGTGTTTGCGCATTTAATGTGCTGTTGAAGATCACTTTTCTTCTTCCAGAGAAGCTAAAAGGTTGGACACCCCTGCTTTAGCAGGAGACCAAAAGCAATGGTAATAGTGACTTCCAGCACTCATAAGTGTGAAGATTTTACCTCTTCATGTGTAACATAAACATACTGACTGAATATACACGGTGCAATAAGAGTGTGGGACCGGGACTCAGGCAATCTAAGTTCTAGTCCCCACTTGAACACCCGGCCATGGAGCTGGGTGACTTTGGGCCAGTCACAGACTCAGGGTAAGATCGAGAGCAGGAGAAAGAGAATGATGCAAGCCACTTTGAGTTCATTGTAAGATAAAAATAGGATATAAATCTAATAAGTCAAAGGTGACTTCCTGTGTTGTCTGTAGTAGCATGATTTATTAAGCACTCTGGCTGGTTTTAGAAAACATAAAAAACAGCCCTTGCTTGTAAGCCACCCATATCCACCCACAGCAAAATATCTGTTCTAGGCATCAAAACAGCATGAGATGGAAGAAGCTTTTAATCATTAGTCATATCTGCTTTTATACATAACTTAATACATTACAGAAAAACTCATATATAAGTATGAAGATAAGAAAAATGCAAACTGTATACTCCAATATTATATACACCATGGTAGCTTACGATAAATCTTTATGTGCAACATAAAATTATGTCACTTTTGTCTTTGTAAAGATTTTGGTGCAGGTGTAGGTCATGCAAGTATTCTGCTTTAGTTTTAATTGTTTAACTTCAAATATTTCTACCATCCTTTGGATTTTATTATATCTTGGAAAAGAGAAAAGAAATACAAAAATAAGTTAGGAATGGTAAATTGGAAAATGTGAACACCTAGAAAAATAATTTTGATGACTGTGTGAAATTTGTGAAGTTTGGTAGGAAGAAGCAGAGCAGGCGGAGTAATTTTTTTTTTTTTAAATGTTGGTTTGAATGCTTTTGTATATTTTTGGTTTTCGCATCTTCTACCAGTAAATCTGTGAGTCTTTAGACCATTTCTGCTTGGATTCTCCTTCCCATCCTTTGGTTTCTTCTCGGGGAGAAATTGTCGTTCATACTGTTCTGTACTTTCCATCTTCCATTCTTCTTCTGCCCTTTTCAGCTTCCCTCATCATAGGACAGAGGAGACTGGTCAGTGCATGAGATCCTATGCTTGCTTTTGATGCCTGAAATCTAGTGTGGCATTCATCTCTTTCCTGCAGACAAAGAAAGAAAGATGGAAAGAAGTGTGTAAATGAAGGGTCAATCATAATCTTTCCCCAGATTAAGTAATTCAGGGAGAAGAAGAAACATCAGACAGTTAAGTTCTATTCATATACATGGTACACAGATGCACAATTACGTTTAAGGCATAACTGAAATCATTATGTACTATGCACTAAGATAGGAATGATTAAAAATATGGAAGACTTCATAGAGGTTTAAAAATTCATGCTTCTTGGGAACTTAATTATTCTGGATTTTAAGCAACAGAAACTGCTGGTGGAACAGAATTCCTTTCCCCACCACAGCTACTAATGCAGCTCCCCTACCCATCTGCTCCAGAACCTCCAGAGCAGATTTATGTGGGCACACAGGGAGAGGATGGAAAATCTTGTTCCGTCTAAGTCTGTTCATCTAAGATTGGATATATATTTTATTTATTCTATGTTGGACATCTGTTTCACATGCCTGGCTTTGAGGTCACTAAATATGAGTGACTTGAGAGGTTTAATAGCATTGCAGTGACTCTCATATCTGGAAGTTAAAGACTGCAAGGTTTGTTTACAGACTATTCATATATTTTACCCTACTAGGAAGGCATGACACCAAAAATCAGTTGATGCTATTTGAAGTGTTCCACCAAAATTTGGTAAGGTTAAAACATACAGTGTTTAACGAAAGCCTGCAATAGGTGAAAGAATATCTTTAATTTCTAGCAACTTTCTAAGCCACTTTGGCATTCTCCTTGGGTGTCCTATTTTTAGAATGCCCGTTTCAATGTTACTTTGTGATTGATACCAAAGAATCTAGAGCTACAGTAAGATGACCAAAAACACAAGTCCTTGCTTTAATGAGGTAAATATTACTGCAAACTATTTGTAGAAATCATCATACTTGGATGTATTTTGCTACTGCTGTTCATAAATGTTAGTGACCTGTCTCTGGTCTTGAATGGGACTCCCAGTCCTGCTATTGTTAAAGAAAGCTAGGGAATGACAGCAGCCCTGTACTTAGATCTCATTTCATTTGCTTCTCTGGAGGGTTGTATTTAGTGTTTTCATTAGAAATGTTTTCACAGATGTCGGCTCTGCAGATATGACATCTCTGTGGTGGAGAGGTGGTCAGAAGTTTGGCATCCAGAACCAGAAAAAAAAATCAGTTCTGAAAGCCTAATTTATAGAAAAATAATTTACTGTCTTTATGATGTATAAATGTATAGGAACTCTACAGAGGTTTAAGATAGAGTAATTGAATTCCAACTAATACAGAAATGTTTGTGATTAGTCTTTTAAAAAGAAATCTGTCATTCATCATGATAAAGGACTAAAAAAGCACCCATAAATAACACTTTTGGAAAAGTTGTGCCCACTAATTTATATATAAATATTTTCTTTTTCGCTTGAAATACCTATATTAATGTGGCCATATTTTAATAGTATGCAATGTTTTGACCCATGTCTGACCAATGTGGTGAAGTAGATGATGTAAATGTGTGTCAAGCATTTGTGCTCACGGCTACATTTTTTATGGGAAAGGTCTTCACCATGGTGGATTTTCATTGATATTTCATAATCAAAATGCAGAAAATCTTTCCAATGTGTTTTTATTTCAGGTTTATTAAAATAGCGATGTCACTTCAGACTAATGGCAGTGGCCCCACAAAAGGAAAATATAGAACAGCAACAATGTAGGCATTTTTTGAACCATTTTGAGGAACAGAATTTTGTTTTCTGCCTTCTGTTTATCCATCTTACTACTCCTTTAAGATACTGTGACAAGTGTGACTCAAACTGTACTGTTTGTAATTGACAAAGAAGAGGGTTAGGGTTTCCTTTGGAAGAAATAATGTTCATAAGTCCATGTGTTCTGCAAGCCTGTTCCAGAGGGTCCTTCCAATCTTCCAGGGCTGTAGGGGAGAAGTGGAATATTTTATTTATTTATTATTTATTTAGGAAACTTCTATGCCACCCCATTCGCCGAAGCCTTGGGGCTGCTCACAAACATAAATATGCTTCACAACTGGTATTCCTATAAAGTTATAATCCTGTGCCATATCTGGAGCAGAAGTCTAATTTGGACTGCAATCTCTATACCCACTTACCTGGGAGAACATTACATTAATGGGACTTATTTCTTACTAGATATGTATAGGATTCCACAATTGGCTTCTATAAAGTGAAGGTAGTACCGTCAGCTACAACCTAATGAGAATATTTGGTTGGATTTTATAGAAGACCATACAGTGGTCAGTTGAGTAGCCTTTTCTATCAGGAGAAGAGGAGAAATTACTACTGGACACTGCAGCAGGTTTTCCATATTAAGAAAATAAAATGAAGTCACTTTAAACATTTTCCCCTTTTAATAATGATGTTTGCATTATCCTTGCTATTTATGAGGTTTTGCTATTTGAGTTCCCAAAAGCAGTCTGATATTCAAGAATACTTTAACCATTTGCCTGATAACATGTTAATGAAATTCAGCAAATATACCTACTTTAAATTAACCAACAATAGGAAGACGTGTGGTTTTTAACACACAAAAGTTCTTAAATTTAATCACCTAAATATTAACAGTGGTTAAAATGTACACTGAAACAATAGACAAATTGAATATAATGCTTATCAGTTTACATGAATTCCGTAATATAGCAGGGCGCTTTACTTTCTCTCTCTCTCTCTCTGTCTTTCTTTTCTTTTTGGCCTTTGTTAATCTACATAACACATATTGATATCCACTGGTAATATACATTTTTTTTAAATTTGCAAATTCCATTCTTTTTTAATATAACTTCTGCAGGGAATCTGTTTCTGCATTGCACGCCTTGCCTTCCACTTTTCCCAACCAAGATATTCAACAAGTCTAATTCCAATTTTAAGGCCATAAATTAACTAAATGTGCCTGCAAGTTCGTATAAACACTCCAAAGATCTGCTTAGACTGTGGGGAAAATAAGCATGACAGGGAAGGGAATCCTCTACAGTTGTGTTACTAGGAATGTTAATTAGTATCTTGTTTTGATCACAAAAACTTAAGCTTTCCCCACCCCCACCCCACCCCCTTCCATACATCAACTAATTCCTGGCATTTTTGTGAGATAAAAGATATTTGCCTCTGCCTTCTGAGTAGAACCAAATGGTGACTTATTTATTTTTAGTTGTGGGTGGCAGGGAGGAAAAATTAAGTACTGTAATCTTGTTTTTGTTTTAGTTCTCTGTTTTTTGTTTTTTAAAGGCTCCCAGTTGTGAAACAATGTTGGTTGTTTTGGCTGAAGGCCCTGCTTGTTTCTCTGGCAATTTTTGATAGCACAGTGCAATAAACTTATTCAGTGTAATAAAGCTGTCCATCAGAAAAACGGGGTTATATTTTCAGATTTGGATTGTACAATATGGAAAATGAGCAGGGGAAAAGGCTGTAGGTTTTTGTGTCCAAAAAGGAGTATTTTTTCAAGTTTCATGCTATAACATCTCAACTACATGCAGCTGTTATTTTTCCGAACAAAATTAATTCAAGAGGCTACAAAGTTTCAATCTTTAAGCTGAAAATTAGCTTACAGTTTTCTGAATATCATCAGATGGGACAATTGATAAATATTCAGGGAAAATAATGTTTAGATGAGCCAATAGCAGTCTACCTCCCATGATGTGTATTGACTATTTCCCTCCATATTCAGCACATTACACTTCAGAGAGTGTCTTGCTTTCTTTTTTTCTGTTAAGATAATGCAGATATTTTAAATATGTGAAAGTTTAAATATTTTTAAGCCACACCAGGATCCTTTTTGGCTGAGGAATGTGATAAAAATACTGTAGGCTGGCTCTCATGAAGTGAGGTGAACCTTTAAGTTTTTAATGTTTTTTAAATAAGTGAACACTCAAAAAAAATGCAGAAGGTGCCTAATTGGAGCTCACTGGGTGAGTTTGTGCCAGTCACTGATTCTCAGCCTAGTCAGACTCAAAGGGTTGTTGTGAGAACAGAATGGGGAGGAAGATTATATAAGCCTTCTTGGATTTTTTTGGAGAAAAAAAGTTGGGATATAAATATAGTAAATAATAATGATTTCAAATATTTTGACTGAATAATGAAACAGATTAATAATAAGACATGACGTCATCTAGCTCTAACTGCCTTACTAGGGACCATCCTTTGCAAAGCAAGAATCCATCCAGACAAAGGAATATGTCTCTATCAATTGTCCTCTACAGCCAAAATATTTGGGGCTAGTGGGAGGTGCATCACAAGTTCCTTCTCCAGCTAGTCAATAATATCTTGAAGCCAATTTGTAGTTTCCCTCTGCCTTTTCTTTGTATTCACACTGGCCCTGAAACAAACCTCTTCATTTTAGAAAGACAAGCAAGCTAATTGCCTTTTCTCCCCAATGATGATGCACCATTTACAGAGGTAGTTAGTAAACTTCCTTTTAGCAATGCGAGAATGCAGCTATCATATCATGTAAATTAGTTCCAGCTAATAAAGCACTGAGAGAAAAGTGCTTTTCACTTATTCCATGGGAAAATTTGCCTGGGTTAGATCTAGACTTAGTTTTACTTAAATGTAGACCTGCTGAAATCAGTTGGACTGAAATTAGTCATGGCTAATTTGTCCTGGTGATTTCAATGGATCTATTCTAATTAAGTCTGGAACCAATCCATGTTTGAAAAGAGTATAAAAGTCTAATTAATCTGATTAAGTTGTGCTCATGCATTTTTCAGTCAGGGAAAATAACTCCTTTAAGGGAAAAGAGTTAAACATCACCCCTCTGTGCTGTGGTCCCAACCTCAATCGGGATGCCGTGTAGCAGATTTTTGTAAAAGGAAAGGGTTTGGTGCCTTCCAGTAAAAACTCTCAGCGTTGTTGGTTCATGGCCACACTGACTGTGGCTGTGTTGGAGTCCACAGTGTCCTCACCCTTGCCCTAAATCATTATAATGTATTTATTTAAAATATTTTTCGGCTGCCTTTCAGGACAGAATCCCCACAAGGCTTAGAACAAGCATG